TGAGTTTGGACTGTGCTGTTGTGTGATCATTTCTACCTGCCTGGAGCCTTCCTCTGATCACCGGCTTGTTGACTGTTCCCCTCGTCTCCTGTGACCTCTGGAGTATTGCCTCTGAAATCTATCTACTTTGGATTTTCCTTGCTATTTCGCTATTGGATTCACTGACTCTCCCTTAGCCCGGTGAAACGGCCTCTCCCTCTGAACCGCCTCTCTCCCCGATTCTCGCTTAGCAACTCAGCCACTCTTTTACCATGGGATGGGCCCCAGCCCTCAACCTGTAAGTCTATGCTCTCGCTTTGCTTTTGATCTGCTTGTTTTGTTGAAGTTGTGTTCTGTGGGTTCCTGCCTGTGCTAGTTGGTCTCGAGTTGTTAACAATGTTGGACTCTGGCTTGCTACTTATGCCAACTGTGGTGGTTGGCTAACTAGGCTAAGCTGGCTAGCAGGCTAAAAATAATGTTAGCTGGCTGGCTAAGATAATGCTAACTGCAGATAACATTCTTTGATAACTGGTTAGATGGCGTTATGCATTTCCAAAACGTTGGTTTACTTTAATGTGGCTGTATTCGCTATTAAAGCTGTAAATTAGCTAGCTATGTGTTGATAGCCACTGGCTGACTCATGCAGTGCTAACGTACAGTGGGGAAATAAAGTATTTAGTCAGCCACCAATTGTGCAAGTTCTCCCACTTAAAAAGATGAGAGAGGCCTGTAATTTTCATCATAGGTACACATCAACTATGACAGACAAATTGAGATTTTTTTTCTCCGGAAAATCACATTGTAGGATTTTTAATGAATTTATTTGCAAATTATGGTGGAAAATAAGTATTTGGTCACCTACAAACAAGCAAGATTTCTGGCTCTCACAGACTTGTAACTTCTTCTTAAAGAGGATCCTCTGTCCTCCACTCGTTACCTGTATTAATGGCACCTGTTTGAACTTGTTATCAGTATAAAAGACACCTGTCCACAACCTCAAACAGTCACACTCCAAACTCCACTATGGCCAAGACCAAAGAGCTGTCAAAGGACACCAGAAACAAAATTGTAGACCTGCACCAGGCTGGGAAGACTGAATCTGCAATAGGTAAGCAGCTTGGTTTGAATAAATCAACTGTGGGAGCAATTATTAGGAAATGGAACACATACAAGACCACTGATAATCTCCCTCGATCTGGGGCTCCACGCAAGATCTCACCCCGTGGGGTCAAAATGATCACAAGAACGGTGAGCAGAACCACACGGGGGGACCTAGTGAATGACCTGCAGAGAGCTGGGACCAAAGTAACAAAGCCTACCATCAGTAACACACTACGCCGCCAGGGACTCAAATCCTGCAGTGCCAGACGTGTCCCCCTGCTTAAGCCAGTACATGTCCAGGCCCGTCTGAAGATTGCTAGAGTGCATTTGGATGATCCAGAAGAGGATTGGGAGAATTTCATATGGTCAGATGAAACCAAAATATAACTTTTTGGTAAAAACTCAACTCGTCGTGTTTGGAGGACAAAGAATGCTGAGTTGCATCCAAAGAACACCATACCTACTGTGAAGCATGGGGGTGGAAACATCATGCTTTGGGGCTGTTTTTCTGTAAAGGGACCAGGACGACTGATCCGTGTAAAGGAAAGAATGAATGGGACCATGTATCGTGAGATTTTGAGTGAAAACCTCCTTCCATCAGCAAGGGCATTGAAGATGAAACGTGGCTGGGTCTTTCAGCATGACAATGATCCCAAACACACCGCCCGGGCAACGAAGGAGTGGCTTCGTAAGAAGCATTTCAAGGTCCTGGAGTGGCCTAGCCAGTCTCCAGATCTCAACCCCATAGAAAATCTTTGGAGGGAGTTGAAAGTCTGTGTTGCCCAGCGACAGCCCCAAAACATCACTGCTCTAGAGGAGATCTGCATGGAGGAATGGGCCAAAATACCAGCAACAGTGTGTGAAAACCTTGTGAAGACTTACAGAAAACGTTTGACCTGTGTCATTGCCAACAAAGGGTATATAACAAAGTAGAGTAACTTTTGTTATTGACCAAATACTTATTTTCCACCATAATTTGCAAATAAATTCATTAAAAATCCTACAATGTGATTTTCTGGATTTTCTTTTCTCATTTTGTCTGTCATAGTTGACGTGTACCTATGATGAAAATTACAGGCCTCTCTCATCTTTTTAAGTGGGAGAACATGCACAATTGGTGGCTGACTAAATACTTTTTTCCCCCACTGTAGTAGGGCTGGTAGGGCTAACGTTAGCAGGCTAGTTGGCTAGAAGCTGATTTTTAACAGTAAATTCATAAAGTATTTGCTTCTAAGTTGGCAGAAAATGTAGTTGAAACCAGTAGTCATGAGTGCACACGATTTGGTTTAATTTGAAGTTATACATTTGAGGGAATAGACTGGCTGGCCGGCTCCTCTATATGACACGTCGCCCCTCAGAAAAATAAATAATCTGTCAGACTTCAGAATTCTGATCGGTTCTGATCAGTTTTATGTACCATTAAAAACGTCAAATTAATAGCCTGGGAGTTTATTTGCTTCAATCACTGAAAACAAAAAGGGGCTTATTAGAGACAAGCTTCTATTTGAGCCAGGTGTCTATTTCACAGCTTTTCCTCATTTGCATATATATTTTTTTAATTCCAGCAATCACTTCCAGCATTTTAATCAATGTCTTCATTTCCTGCACAAATGTGTTATCATTTAAATTGTCACGTTTCTTTTGTCTTAGTATGGCTATCCAGTTGAAGTCGGAAGTTTACATACTCTTAGGTTGGCGACATTAAAACTTGTTTTTCAACCACTCCACAAATTTCTTGTTAACAAACTATAGTTTTGGCAAGTCGGTTAGGACATCTACTTTGTGCATGACACAAATAATTTTTCAAACAACTGTTTACGGACAGATTATTTCACTTATAATTCACTGTATCACAATTCCAGTGGGTCAGAAGTTTACATACACTAAGTTGACTGTGCCGTTAAACAGCTTGGAAAATTCCAGAAAATGATGTCATGGCTTTAGAAGCTTCTGATAGGCTAATTGACATCATTTGAGTCAATTGGAGGTGTACCTGTGGATGTATTTCAAGGCCTACCTTCAAACTCAGTGCCTCTTTGCTTGACATCATGGGAAAATAAAAATAAATCAGCCAAGACCTCAGAAAAATAATTGTAGACCTCCACAAGTCTGGTTCATCCTTGGGAGCAATTTCCAAACACCTGAAGGTACCACTTTCATCTATACAAACAATAGTACGCAAGTATAAACACCATGGGACCGCGTCATACCGCTCAGGAAGGAGACGCATTCTGTCTCCTAGAGATGAACGTACTTTGGTGCGAAAAGTGCAAATCAATCCCAGAACAGCAAAGGACCTTGTGAAGATGCTGGTGGAAACAGGTACAAAAGTATCTATATCCACAGTAAAACGAGTCCTATATCGACATAACCTGAAAGGCCGCTCAGCAAGGAAGAAGCCACTGCTCCAAAACCGCCATAAAAAAGCCAGACTACGGTTTGCAACTGCACATGGGGACAAAGATCGTACTTTTTTGAGAAATGTCCTCTGGTCTGATGAAACAAAAATATAACTGTTTGGCCATAATGACCATCGTTATGTTTGGAGGAAAAAGGTGGTAGCTTGCAAGCCGAAGAACACCATCCCAACCGTGAAGCACGGGGGTGGCAGCATCATGCTGTGGGGGTGCTTTGCTGCAGGAGGGACTGGTGCACTTCACAAAATAGATGGCATCATGAGGAAGGAAAATTATGTGGATATATATTGAAGCAACATCTCAAAACATCAGTCAGGAAGTTAAAGCTTGTTCGCAAATAGGTCTTCCAAATGGACAATGACCCCAAGCATACTTCCAAAGTTGTGGCAAAATGGCTTAAGGACAACAAAGTCAAGGTATTGGAGTGGCCATCACAAAGCCCTGACCTCAATCCTATAGAAAATATGTGGGCAGAACTGAACAACCGTGTGCAAGCAAGGAGGCCTACAAACCTGACTCAGTTACACCAGCTCTGTCAGGAGGAATGGGCCAAAATTCACCCAACTTATTGTGGGAAGCTTGTGGAAGGCTACCCGAAACATTTGACCCAAGTTAAACAATTTAAAGGCAATGCTACCAAATACTAATTGAGTGTTTGTAAACTTCTGACCCACTGGGAATGTGATAAAAGAAATAAAAGCTGAAATAAATAATTCTCTCTACTATTATTCTGACATTTCACATTCTTAAAATAAAGTGGTGATCCTAACTGACCTAAGACAGGGAATTCTTACTAGGATTAAATGTCAGGAATTGTGAAAAACTGAGTTTAAATGTATTTGGCCAAGGTGTATGTAAACTTCCGACTTCAACTGTATTTCTTCCCCCAAAGAGCCTTGCCAGAATACCTATAATTATTCTCCTCTTTGACTGTGCATTTTCGGCAGTTCTTACTGCCAATTTCTGGGGGTCTGTACTCCCGAAGTTGTTGACTTTTTGTGGTTGCCAGTTAGCTAGCAGTTCTCAGCTTTTCACAGCCAATGGCTACCAGCTTATTACTGGCGATAAAAATTGATGATTGCCATAATTTTTTCGAGTCATTACAGGATTTGTGAAATTTAACAAATCAAACATTAAACCTCGTAAACAATTAATGGCAATGCATGGTAACCTTGTAAACAATTTCATTTAGACCCAGCATTTATTTGAAACAGGTGTTAATTTGCTGAAATGTGTGCCGTTCCCCGGCTACTCAAAAGGGACAGGCAGCTATTTGAGACTGTGTTTAATTGAAGTTTTACGGGAATAACGCCATATATTACATGTGGTTACGTTTTTGCTACACTCACTTTAATAAGCCACAGTTTTAATGTAGACCTCTACAGTAATACAATTCCAGTGCACATCAAAAGTTAGTCCAACAGCATCTTGCTTTGCATAATTGTGCACTTCAGGTAAATCTAATCGAGAATGTTAATAAATAGGCATGATAAAAACTCAAACACGCATGCACACACACACACAGACAGGCACAGACAGACTAACACACACACAGAGAGAGAGAGAGATAGTGTTCAGGGGAAGTGCATCTTGCGTGTCTTCCACAGAGAGACTCTCCTGGAGGTGAGGATGTGGGTCATCAGACTGAGCAGCATCAGGAAAATGGTCATGGACATCACAATCACATAGTGGCTGATGCTGGACAGAGAGATATATATGGTAAGGATGTGTGTGTGTGGTTGCTGGTGGGCAGAGATATAGGAGGACGGGCTCGTTGTAATGGCTGAAATGGAATGAATGGAGAGGTATCAAACACATTTCCATTCGTTATAATGAGCCTGTACTCCTATATCTCCGCCCACTAGCCTCCTCTGACAGCATGGGATAATTAAGCAATAAGGCCCGAGGAGGTGTGGTACAGTGCATTGTGAAATTATTCAGACCCCTTGACTTTTTTCACATTGTTTCGTTACAGCCTTATTCTAAAATGGATTAGATTACATTTTTTCCTCATCAATCAACACACAATACCCTATAATGACAAAGCAAAAACAGGTTTTTAGAAATACCTTATTTACATACGTATTCAGACCCTTTGCTATAAGACTCGAAATTGAGCTCAGGTGCATCCTGTTTCCATTGATCATCCTTGAGATGTTTCTACAACTTGGAGTCCACCTGTGGTAAATTCAATTGATTGGACATGATTTGGAAAGGCAAATACCTGTCTATATAAGGTCCCACAGTTGACAGTGCATGTCAGAGCAAAAACCTAGCCATGAGGTCAAGGAATTGTCCGTAGAGCTCCGAGACAGGATCGTGTCGAGGCACAGAACTGGGGAAGGGTACAGAAACATTTCTGCAGCATTGAAGGTCCCCAAGAACACAGTGGCCTCCATCATTCTAAAATGGAAGAAGTTAGGAACCACCAAGACTCTTCCTAGAGTTAGCCGCCCGGCCAAACTGAGCAATCGAGGGAGAAGGGCCTTGGTCAGGGATGTGACCAAGAACCCGATGGTCACTCTGACAAAGCTACAGAGTTCCTCTGTGGAGATGGCAGAACCCTCCAGAAGGACAAACTTCTCTGCAGCACTCCACCAATCAGGCCTTTATGGTAGAGTGGCCAGACGGAAGCCACTCCTTAGTAAAAGGCACATACAGCCCGCTTGGAGTTTTCCAAAAGGCACCTAAAGGACTCTCAGACCATGAGAAACAAGATTATTTGGTCTGATGAAATCAAGATTAACCTGTTTGGCCTGAATGCCAAGCATCACATCTGGAGGAAACCTGGAACCATCCCTACGGTGAAGTATGGTGGTGGCAGCATCATGCTGTAGGGATGTTTTTCAGCGGCAGGGACTGGGAGACTAGTCAGGATCGAGGGAAAGATGAACGGAGCAAAGTACAGAGAGATCCCTGATGAAAACCTGCTCAGAGCGCTCAGGACCTCAGACTGGGGCGAAGGTTCACCTTCCAACAGAACAACGACCCTAAGCACACAGCCAAGACAACACAGGAGTGGCTTCGGGACAAGTCTCTGAATGTCCTTGAGTGGCCCAGCCAGAGCCCGGACTTGAACCCAATCAAACATCTCTGGAGAGATCTGAAAATAGCTGTGCAGTGACGTTCCCCATCCAACCTGACAGAGCTTGAGAGGATCTTCAGAGAAGAATGGGAGAAACTTCCTAAATACAGGTGTGCCAACTTGTAGCGTCATTCCCAAGAAGACTCGAGGCTGTAATCGCTGCCAAAGGTGCTTCAACAAAGTAGTGAGTAAAGGGTCTGAATACTTATGTAAATGTGATATTTCCGTTATTTTTTATTTATTTTTATACAAAATCTAAAAACCTGTTTTTGCTTTGTCATTATGGGGTATTGTGTGTAGATTGATGAGGGAAAAAACCAATTTAATCAATTTTAGAACAAGGCTGTAACGTAACACAATTTGGAAAAAGTCAAGGGGTCTGTGTACTTTCCAAATGCACTGTATATGGCCAGTATACCACGGCTACGGGCTGTTCTTAAGCACGACTCAACACAGAGTTCCTGGATACAGCCTTTAGCCGTGGTATATTGGCCATATACCACAAACCCCCGAGGTGCCTTATTGCTATTATAAACTGGTTACCAATGTAATTAAAAGAGTCAAAATAAATGTCATACCCATGGTATACGGTCTGATATACCACGGCTTTCAGCCAATCAGCATTCAGGACTCAAACCACACAGTTTATAATGAGCCATAAGACATGCAAAACCTCTCTCTCTGCTGGGTCCTACCTGGTGCCAATGTCCAGCCAGCTCCCATAGTCCTGCACTAGGAAGAAGAAATGCTGGAGAAAAAGAGGAGAGAAGAGAGGGATGGAGAGAGAAAGAGAGGAGAGCGAGGTAGTGAGAGAAATAGTTGATTGGAGAATATGGTGAAATTTCCAGTTTATCACAGGCAACCATATTGCTAATATCTGTCCCATTCCTTACCAAAGGCAACCATATTGCTAATATCTGTCCCATTCCTTACCAAAGGCAACCATATTGCTAATAGCTGTCCCATTCCTTACCAGAGGAGACCATATTGCTAATAGCTGTCTAGTTCCTTACCAGAGGAGACCATATTGCTAATAGCTGTCTAGTTCCTTACCAGAGGCGACCATATTGCTAATAGCTGTCTAGTTCCTTACCAGAGGCGACCATATTGCTAATAGCTGTCTAGTTCCTTACCAGAGGCGACCATATTGCTAATAGCTGTCTCATCCCTTACCAGAGCCATCAGGTCAGAAATCACCAGGACGATGAGGAACAGACTGGAAACAAAAGAAGAGAAAATTGAATTATTAATTCAATAATGGCCTCATGAGCTAATTTCTCAAAATACTGTATGTCTTCTGTATGTGTACTTGATTTTCACATGATGGAACCAAGCTAAATAACTTACCTTCTGGAGGAAAGTTGTGTAGAGACCTGGATGGTTTCAAATGTACACATAACAATGATGAATGGGATTATCACCTGAAACAACAACAGTATCATCTTCACTCTGTTAGGCAATGTAGGGAGGTTACAACACAACACATTTTTTTGTATTTGCAAAGTTGTGATCATTTTTGTTGAAGATATCTGTATTTTTGCTCTGTCAATATGTCACTCAGTGAGTTGAGTGAGAGACTACCAGACAATACTAGAATCCATTAAGACGCATATTGTGTGCGCAGGCCAGTATGTAGACCTAAACTAATGTAACCCACAACTGTTGTTAGAATAGTTGTGGTTTACCACCATCTCTTTGACACCATTATGAGTAGAGCATTGTTTCCTTTTAACATACAGTTGAAGTCGGAAGTTAACATACACCTTAGCCAAATACATTTAAAGTTAGGATCACCACTTTATTTTAAGAATGTGAAATGTCAGAATAATAATAGAAATAATTATTTATTTCAGCTTTTATTTATTTCATCACATTCCCAGTGGGTCAGAAGTTTACAAACACTCAATTAGTATTTGGTAGCATTGCCTTTAAATTTTTTAACTTGGGTCAAACGTTTCGGGTAGCCTTCCACAAGCTTCCCACAATAAGTTGGGTGAATTTTGGCCCATTCCTCCTGACAGAGCTGGTGTAACTGAGTCAGGTTTGTAGGCCTCCTTGCTCGCACATGCTTTTTCAGTTCTGCCCACAAATGTTCTATAGGATTGAGGTCAGGGCTTTGTGATGGCCACTCCAATACCTTGACTTTGTTGTCCTTAAGCCATTTTGCCACAACTTTGGAAGTATGCTTGGGGTCATTGTCCATTTGGAAGACCAATTTGCGAACAAGCTTTAACTTCCTGACTGATGTCTTGAGATGTTGCTTCAATATATCCACATAATTTTCCTTCCTCATGATGCCATCTATTTTGTGAAGTGCACCAGTCCCTCCTACAGCAAAGCACCCCCACAGCATGATGCTGCCACCCCCGTGCTTCACGGTTGGGATGGTGTTCTTTGGCTTGCAAGCTACCACCTTTTTCCTCCAAACATAACGATGGTCATTATGGCCAAACAGTTCTATTTCTGTTTCATCAGACTAGAGGACATTTCTCAAAAAAGTACGATCTTTGTCCCCATGTGCAGTTGCAAACCGTAGTCTGGCTTTTTTATGGCGGTTTTGGAGCAGTGGCTTCTTCCTTGCTGAGCGGCCTTTCAGGTTATGTCGATATAGGACTTGTTTTACTGTGGATATAGATAATTTTGTACCTGTTTCCTCCAGCATCTTCACAAGGTCCTTTGCTGTTGTTCTGGGATTGATTTTCACTTTTCGCACCAAAGTACGTTCATCTCTAGGAGACAGAATGCGTCTCCTTCCTGAGCGGTATGACGGCTGCGTGGTCCCATGGTGTTTATACTTGCGTACTATTGTTTGTACAGATGAACGTGGTACCTTCAGCCGTTTGGAAATTGCTCCCAAGGATGAACCAGACTACAATTATTTTTCTGAGGTCTTGGCTGATTTATTTTGATTTTCCCATGATGTCAAGCAAAGAGGCACTGAGTTTGAAGGTAGGCCTTGAAATACATCCACAGGTACACCTCCAATTGACTCAAATTATGTAAATTAGCCTATCAGAAGCTTCTAAAGCCATGACATCATTTTCTGGAATTTTCCAAGCTGTTTAAAGGCACAGTCAACTTAGTGTATGTAAACTTCTGACCCACTGGAATTGTGATACAGTGAATTCTAAGTGAAATAATCTGTCTGTAAACAATTGTTTGAAAAATTATTTGTGTCATGCACAAAGTAGATGTCCTAACCGTCTTGCCAAAGCTATAGTTTGTTAAAAAGAAATTTGTGGAGTGGTTAAAAAACAAGTTTAAATGACTCCAACCTAAGTGTATGTAAACTTCCGACTTCAACTGTATCTTCATTAGTATGACATTGTAGTGCGTGTGTGTGTGTTTGTGTGTAGGCTGCGGTACCTTCCACATCATCAGGCCTCCCATGATAAAGGGGTTGAAGACAGTGAGGAAGCAGTACACTGAGGCTGGATCAAAACTACAGAGAGAAGAGAAAGAGATAGAGAGAACATCAAAAAACATCAAAAGGAACATAGAATTTGACATACCAATTAGGATCTAGCTAAAAATACATGAATCAGTTATATAACCCATTGCCCTTTATGGTTGTGAGGTCTGGGGTCCACTCACCAACCAATAATTCACAAAATGGGACAAACACCGAATTGAGACTCTGCATGCAGAATTCTGCAAAAATATCCTCAGTGTACAACGTAAAACACCAAATAATGCATGCAGAGCAGAATTAGGCCGATACCCGCTAATTATCCAAATCTAGAAAAGAGCTGTTAAATTCTAGAACCACCTAAAAGGAAGTGATTCCCAAACCTTCCAGAGAGAACAAAGCCATCACCTACAGAGAGATGAACCTGGAGAAGAGTCCCCTAAGCAAGCTGGTCCTGGCGCTCTGTTCACAAACACAAACAGACCCCACAGAGCCCCAGGACAGCAACTCAATTAGACCCAACCGAATCATGAGAAAATAAAAAGATAATTACTTGACACATTGGAAATAATTAACAAAAAAATTTAGCAAACTAGAATGCTATTTGGCCCTAAACAGAGAGTACACAGTGGCAGAATACCTGACCACCGTGACTGACCCAAAATTAAGGAAAGCTTTGACTATGTACAGACTCAGTGAGCATAGCCTTGCTATTGAGAAAGGCCGCCGTAGGCAGACCTGGCTCTCAAGAGAAGACAGGCTATGTGCACACTGCCCACAAAATGATGTGGAAACTGAGCTGCACTTCCTAACCTTCTGCCAAATGTATGACCATATTAGAGACAAATATTTCCCTCAGATTACAGACCCACAAATAATTCAAAAACAAATCCCATATCTATTGGGGGAAATATCACAGTGTGCAATCACAGCAGCAAGATGTGTGACCTGTTGCCACAAGAAAAGGGCAACCAGTGAAGAACAAACACCATTGTAACTATTTGCACATCATTACAACACTCTATATAGACATATGACATGTCTTTATTCTTTTGGAACTTTTGTGAGTAATATTTAATGTTAACTTTTTATTGTTTGTTTCACTTTTGTTTATCCATTTCATTTGCTTTGGCAATGTAAACATATGTTTCCCATGCCAATAAAGCCCCTTGAATTGAATTGAGAGAGAGAGAGAGAGAGAGAGAGTGTGTAGAGGAAGAGCAACAGAAAGAGAGAGAGCGAGAGGGAGGGAGTAGAGTGAGAGCGAGAGGGAGAAAGAGTAGAGAGAGAGAGAGGGAGAGAGAGAGTGTAGAGGGAGAGCGAGAGAGAGTAGAGGGAGAGAGGGAGATCGAGAGGGAGAGAGAGAGTAGAGGGAGAGGGAGAGGGAGAGCGAGAGAGAGTAGAGGGAGAGCGAGAGAGTAGAGGGAGAGCGAGAGGGAGAGCGAGAGGGAGAGAGTAGAGGGAGAGTGAGTAGAGGGAGAGCGAGGGAGAGACAGAGAGAGGGAGAGTAGAGGGAGAGAGAGGAAGAGAGGAAGAGACAGAGAGAGAGGAAGAGACAGAGAGAGAGGAAGAGAGAGAGAGAGGGGAAAAGGAGAGTAGAGGGAGAGAAGGAAGGCAAGAAGAAAGAGGAAGAGTAGAGAGAGAAAAATAGAACCCAGAGAAAGACAAGAGGGGTTTCAGAGGTCAGAGAGAGAGAGAGGGAGGGAAAAGAGAGAAAGAAAGAATGTAAATGTGAAAACCAACCAGCCCCAGTCTCCACCATACAATACCTGTTAATGGATGCTATGTTCCCTGTACCAAAGAAGGCTGTAATTATGAAGAAAACCTGAAAGGCTAATGTCAAGGAACCAGACAGTGGTTTTACAGAATAGCCAGTGGTTTAGAGAGAGACGGTCAAAATTATATTTGTTTGCATAAGGTCAAGTTAAAGTTGATGTTAGGGTTTGTGCTTAAAAACCAATGTGACCAGATAGCACTGTTCTTCTTCTTTAGCCAGCTCAGACAGCAACTACATCAGATAGGGACAACTATCACCAGGGTTAAACTAGCGCCACCTATAGGTCATTAACAGTCATAGCAGTCATAGCAGTGTCACCAAGGAAAAGGATACAAAGAAGTAGGATCTTCTGATGTCATCCAGCTTTAGTTGTCTGATCTTGGTGATGTCAATGTTTTCAGAGAAGTCAAGGGTGGACAGCTGAAAAACAATGACACAAACCTATTTCATAATAAAGACACAATGACTTGATACAGTGTAACACTGCATCGTATAATGCTATACCCGACATTCTACACCAGGGGTGTCAAACTCATTTTAGCTCAGGGGCCACATGGAGGAAAATCTATTCCCAAGTGGGCCGGACCGGAAAAATCATGGTATATATAACTTAAAAACAACAACTTCAGATTGTTTTCTTTGTTTTAATACGATCAACATAAAGCTGGAGCCTGAGGACAGTGTGTCCAAAATAGTACAAGCACAACATCACTATTAATCATAAAACACGTCAAGTTTATTTGAAAATTCTAAAGAAAAAGAACACACAAACACACAATGCCTCAGTGATTAACAGAACTGTTTCACAGATCACAGAACTATATCAGGGTGTCATTTCTCAGGCAGAAATGTAGATAAAAATAATGAAATCCTGTTCCCCAAACAAGTGCAAGAACCACAGAGTCAAGAATAGGTTAAATATACAAATAAAATAAAATCAATTAAAAACAATAGCACATCAACATAAAAACATATAAACATAAAGCTGGAGCCTGAGGACAGTGTCCAAAAGCACAACATCACTATTAATCATAAAACACCTCAAGTTATTTGAAAGTTCTGAGGACAAAGAACACACAAACACACAATGCCTCAGTGATTCACAGAAGTATATCACAGATCACAGAACTATATCAGGGTGTCATTTCTCAGGCAGAAATGTAGATAAAAATAATGAAATCCTGTTCCCCAAACAAGTGCAAGAACCACAGAGTCAAGAATAGGTTAAATATACAAATAAAATAAAATCAATTAAAAACAATAGCACATCAACATAAAAACATATAAACATAAATCTGAAAGCGTTGCTCAAACTCCCGTAACAGTCCCGTTATTTTATCTTTGAACCGCTTCATGTCTGCCACATGTTGGGTCGCGCACACATTTTTCAGACAGGGGAAGTGAGCTGCATCACCACCGGCAAGTTGCGTCTCCCACAATGACAGCTTCAACTTGAAAGAACGTATGCTGTCATAATACTGCGTGACAACTTTGTTGCGCCCTTGCAGCTGTTTGTTCAAGTTATTCAGGTGCTCTGTAACATCCACCATAAATGCAAGGTCCTGCATCCATTCTGCGGAATGAAATTCTAACACTGGTTTGCCCTTTTCTTCCATGAACTGTTCAATTTCTTCTCGTAAATCAAAGAAACGCCTCAGCACAGCACCTCGGCTTAACCATCTTACCTCAGTGTGGTATGGCAGGCCATAGATGTGGTCTTTCTCTCTGAGAAGGCTGTCAAACTGACGGTGATTCAGGCTTCTGGATCGGATGAAATTAACAGTTTGGATGACCACCTTCATGACGTTATCCATCTTTAATGACTTGCAACACAAAGCCTCCTGGTGCAAAATACAGTGAAAAGTCAAAAAATCACGTCCTCCATTTGCAGATTGCACTTTCTCTCTGAACTTTGTCACAACGCCTGCTTTTTTCCCGATCATTGAGGGCGCACCATCTGTAGCCAGGCTGACAGCGCGGGACCAGTCCACTCCGACCCTGTCCAGCGCGCCGACGAGTGCGGTAAAAATATCAGCTGCTGTCGTTGTATCTGTCATCGGCACCAACTCCACGAACTCCTCGGTGACGGTCAATGTGTCATCAACTCCGCGGATGAAAATGGCCAGTTGTGTAACATCTGTAATGTCCATGCTTTCATCAATTGCAACCGAAAACGCAATAAATGACTTTACTTTTTGCTTCAACTGGCTGTCCAAATCCACTGAAAGATCGGAAATCCTGTCTGCAACTGTGTTTCTTGTCAGGCTGATATTTGCAAAAGCCTGCCGCTTTTCAGGGCACACAATCTCCGCTGCCTTCATCATGCATGTTTTTACAAATTCACCCTCACTAAATGGTTTTGAAGCCACTGCGATTTCATTAGCAATGAGGTAGCTAGCTTTCACTGCAGCGTCACTGATGTCTCGGCTGTGAGTAAACACAGACTGCTGTTTCTTCAGACCCGCCAACAGTTCATTCACCTTCTCTCATCTCCGCTGTCCTTGAAAGTTGTCATATTTGTCGGCATGAAGACTCACATAGTGGCGACGAAAGTTATATTCTTTCAGCACTGCAACATGCTCTGAACACACCAAACATACAGCTTTCCCATTCAATTCCGTGAATAAATAGGATGACCATTTTTCTTGGGACACTCTGCACTCTGCGTCCACTTTTCTCTTTTTTGACAGAGACATATTGGGGCAATGAGGGTGCCAACGCACATAATGTTAAAAGTAGAAGCCGTAATAAATATCGCGGGCAAAACAAAGTAGCTCATTGGCTGCACGTGCTTGACCTACTTGCTCTGCCCCGGTATAAACAGTTTGCTTGCTTAACACAATTGCTGTTGCGCCATCCAGTGGACGCAATTGGAACAGCAGTTTATTTTATAGAAAAATTGCAGCGCATTTTTATACTTTACAATTATTATTATTATTATTATTATTATATATATATATATTTTTTTTTTAATCATCTCGCGGGCCGGATTAAACCCGTTTGCGGGCCTGATCCGGCCCGCGGGCCGGACGTTTGACACCCCTGTTCTACACCAATAGGGTTTTCTTCTACGCTCAGAGGATTAACCATGGCATTGTGCCAAGTGGAGGGACTAGTTGTGGTTACCTTGTTTACCAGGAAGTAGCTGTATTAGACAAGGGTGATTAACATGAGACTGGTCCTTGACACAGTGTCAGTGCATAGAGGGTGTTGTGTATATATTTACATGGTTTCAGTCATTTAGCAGTCACTCTTATCCAGATCAACATGCAATAGGAACATTCAACTAAAGTACATTGCAAGTAGAACCATTCTTCAATAGAAAACAGTAACAGCGTAAAGGTATATACCTCCTGTCTCCCAGAGATACCCTGAGAGAGCATGGCTTCCTGTTCCATGTTGATCCACACAAACATCAGCCAGGACAGGACTGGGGGGAACAGAGCCTCAGACCTGACACACACACAAACAATTAGTACAGGTACGATACCGGCTAATCACTGCAGTGTTAGCTTACACTTGTTGAACATTGCCTGACTATCTCTTACCCGGTACTCAGTAGTAGGTAGGTGGATGTGAGGGAGAGGAAGATACTGAGCAGACGATGGAACAGACGAGTAGAACTCAACAAAGGAACAAACAGAGAAGAACCTGGGAGAGAGAGATGTCAGTTATCTTTATAAGCCTGATTTTGATGACCATACAGATATTTCAAGGACTTTTATCATAAAGAAAGAAAAAGAGAGTTGGTGCCCACCCAGTGTAGTCCAGCTGATGATCTGGTTGAGGAGAGGCAGACCCTGTTTCAGCTGCAGACTGGAGTGGGTGCTGGTGGGCACATAGGCACACACTGCTACATGGAGCATCTATAGACATAGGAACAATACTGATTAACACACACGCACGTGCGCCCATGCACACACACATTCACACACTCTCGTTACCTGGGAGATGAAGAGGTAGCGGTCAGTCATGTGTAGTGTAGTCCGTTTCCGTGCTGACCAGAGGTAACAGGCGGAAATGAACAATGAGAGTACACCTGCACAGGTACTACAGAGAGAGGAAAGAAAGATACATATATCATGCTCATTTAAAAAAAGAGTGGCAAGAAGCATTGCTGTAATGTTGTAGGAAGGTTAGAATACTTACACCATGTGAATGTTGGGTTCTCTCCCCACAACTGGCATCATGGGAAATGTGGCCAGAAACAAACAACCCAGGACCCAGCTTACTGACCTAAACTACACAGAGAGAGAGAGAGAGAGAGAGAGAGAGAGAGAGAGAGAGTGAGAAAGAGAGGACAGAGAGAGAGGACAGAGAGAGAGAGAGAGAGAGAGAGAGAGAGAGAGAGAGAGAGAGAGAGAGAGAGAGAGAGAGAGAGGACAAATAGAGAGAGAGGATAGAGAGTTATTTAGAGTGAAAGAGAGGGAGAGATATTTAGAGTGAAAGAGAGGGAGAGATATTTAGAGTGAAAGAGAGGGAGAGATATTTAGAGTGAGATATTTTACAGGTGCTTTGTACTCCTGCCATATTTCTTGCTATCCAGTCCTTTCAGATTTGTGCACATCAAAAGGGAAGGAGCTAGACCAGACTAGCTAAGAACTACAAGCCACTCCTTGTCTTACCTTGGCCTTGCTGTAGAGGCCAGAGAGCAGGGGCCAGAGAGAGAGAACCCCCAGGCCTACAGTCAGCATGGCCCGATGGAAGAAACTCACCACCTGGGGGAGACAGACACAGAAGCAGCTTTTTACAAGAGCTCCAGTAGAAATGCAGATTACATTGAATTGAGCCATTAGGGAGATAGTGACTGTATGATGGCTGCTTACCAGAAGTTCAATCCCAAATGTGACCAGGACAAAGTAGCCAAAGCATTTACCCAGTGGTAGCGAACTGTACGAACGAACCAGGTCTGTTAGAGTTCCAAACCTGAAACACACACACACACACATTTGTATGGTTGATAACATCAAAATAAACACAGAACAAGTAAAATACCTCCCTTTCATCCATTCAACTCATACAGCATGAATGAACATCAGATCACTTCAAAGCTGAATAATCATCAAATGATCAAACGCTCATTAAAATTCTATTAAAATCCACATTGACCAAACGTGTGCGTGTGTATATGTATGTATGTATGTGTGTGTGTACTCACTCTTTGAGGACAGAGTACCAGACAGGGACAGGCAGTAGACAGTAGATGTAGTAGGTAACTGGACTTCTCTGGATCGTCAGGAACATTCCAATCAGCAGCGTTGCTCCCACACCCATCCACCACAGGGTTTTACCAGACACCTACAACACACACAAAGGGTTTGAATTGTTGATCTCTTCAGTATCGTCAGAATGATATAGGAGGTGTGTGTGCCTGCCTGCATGTGTGCGTCCATGTACAGTGTGTGAGTGTGCATGTGTTTCGTCACCTGGTCAGTGGGTGGTCTCCTGAGACTGGCGTGTGTCTTCAGTATAACTAGAACCACGTAGGAGGTCCAGCCTGTGAACCCCAGCACAACACTACAGCCCAGGAAGAACCGGTCATAGGTGTGGTAGTAGGACAGACCCTCCAACGCATGGCCCATCAGAGACCTACACAGAGAGATCTGAGAGAGAAGGAGAGGTGAGGGGAGAGAGAGAGAGAGAGAGAGAGAGAGAGAGAGAGAGAGAGAGAGAGAGAGAGAGAGAGGTGAGGGGGTAGAGAGAGAGAGAGGTGAGGGGGTAGAGAGGTGGGGAGAAAAAGGGGGAGAAAGAGTGAGAGAGAGAGAGAGGGCAAATGAGAGAACATTCAGTATATTAGCAGCAAGTGTCTGTCATCAGTCATCATGACAATCGTAACCCAAGAAAAAACATAGGCTTTAGCTCAGTGGGCTAACACGGTATTCAGTTGTACAGATAACCGGGGTTTGATATCCAGTGTACTTACAGCTTCTTCATATTCCTCTAGCTGGATCAGAACCCTGGCCTTGTTGATAAACTCTGCCTGGCGTGACTCTGTCAGCAACCTGAGGGACAGACAGACCGGAGGACACACTGGAGTTACACACAACTGGTCATGTCACTCTCTTTATACGAGTTGTACTATAGAATTACCATTACATTCAGTAGTTATATCTCTATGGTTGGTACTTACTGGTATGGTGTGAAGAGAAAGGATAAAGTTGTTTCCTTTTTCTGAGCCATCTTCACCTGGAAACAGAGCAGAATAGAGATGGTATTTTAACAAATACATTTGGTTATGTAATGTATAATATAATCATCATAACAACAACATTATTGTTATCCTCCATGTTACCTTAAACTGTTCCAGTATCTGGATGGCATTAGAGTACATACTCTCAGCTTTAAACTGGTCACTGTTGTTCAGGTACTGCAGTGGTAACACACCCTACACAAAAAGACAGTTATAAAACATATTACACACACTTTATCAACATAATAAAGACACCATATACCCAATTCCATATTTCACACACTCCCTATTGAGAAGGTACAGTGGGGAGAACAAGTATTTGATACACTGCCGATTTTGCAGGTTTTCCTACTTACAAAGCATGTAGAGGTCTGTAATTTTTATCATAGGTACACTTAAACTGTGAGAGACGGAATCTAAAACAAAAATCCAGAAAATCACATAGCATAATTTTAAGTAATTAATTTGCATTTTATTGCATGACATAAGTATTTGATCACCTACCAACCAGTAAGAATTCCGGCTCTCACAGACCTGTTAGTTTTTCTTTAAGAAGCCCTCCTGTTCTCCACTCATTACCTGTATTAACTGCACCTGTTTGAACTCGTTACCTGTATAAAAAAGACACCTGTCCACACATTCAATCAAACAGACTCCAACCTCTCCACAATGGCCAAGACCAGAGAGCTGTGTAAGGACATCAGGGATACAATTGTAGACCTGCACAAGGCTGGGATGGGCTACAGGACAATAGGCAAGCAGCTTGGTGAGAAGGCAACAACTGTTGGCGCAATTATTAGAAAATGGAAGAAGTTCAAGATGACGGTCAATCACCCTCGGTCTGGGGCTCCATGCAAGATCTCACCTCGTGGGGCATCAATGATCATGAGGAAGGTGAGGGATCAGCCCAGAACTACACGGCAGGACCTGGTCAATGACCTGAAGAGAGCTGGGACCACAGTCTCAAAGAAAACCATTAGTAACACACTACGCCGTCATGGATTAAAATCCTGCAGTGCACGCAAGGTCCCTCTGCTCAAGCCAGCGCATGTCCAGGCCCGTCTGAAGTTTGCCAATGACCATCTGGATGATCCAGAGGAGGAAAGGGAGAAGGTCATGTGGTCTGATGAGACAAAAATAGAGCTTTTTGGTCTAAACTCCACTCGCCGTGTTTGGAGGAAGAAGAAGGATGAGTACAACCCCAAGAACACCATCCCAACCGTGAAGCATGGAGGTGGAAACATCATTCTTTGGGGATGCTTTTCTGCAAAGGGGACAGGACGACTGCACTGTATTGAGGGGAGGATGGATGGGGCCATGTATCCCGAGATCTTGGCCAACAACCTCCTTCCCTCAGTAAGAGCATTGAAGATGGGTCGTGGCTGGGTCTTCCAGCATGACAACGACCCGAAACACACAGCCAGGGCAACTAAGGAGTGGCTCCGTAAGAAGCATCTCAAGGTCCTGGAGTGGCCTAGCCAGTCTCCAGACCTGAACCCAATAGAAAATCTTTGGAGGGAGCTGAAAGTCCGTATTGCCCAGCAACAGCCCCGAAACCTGAAGGATATGGAGAAGGTCTGTATGGAGGAGTGGGCCAAAATCCCTGCTGCAGTGTGTGCAAACCTGGTCAAGACCTACAGGAAACGTATGATCTCTGTAATTGCAAACAAAGGTTTCTGTACCAAATATTAAGTTCTGCTTTTCTGATGTATCAAATACTTATGTCATGCAATAAAATGCAAATTAATTACTTTAAAATCATACAATGTGATTTTCTGGATTTTTGTTTTAGATTCCGTCTCTCACAGTTGAAGTGTACCTATGATAAAAATTACAGACCTCTACATGCTTTGTAAGTAGGAAAACCTGCAAAATCGGCAGTGTATCAAATACTTGTTCTCCCCACTGTATATATGACATGAGATGATACCTTATCGTCTGCACATACACTACCGTTCAAAGGTTTGGGTTCACTTAGAAATGTCCTAGTTTTCGAAAGAAAAGCAATTATTTTGTCCATTAAATTAACATCAAATTGATCAGAAATACAGTGTAGACATTGTTAATGTTGTAAATGGCTATTTTAGCTGGAAACTGCTGATTTTTAATGGAATATCTACATAGGCGTACAGAGGCCCATTATCAGCAACCATCAGTCCTGTGTTCCAATGGCACGTTGTGTTTGCTAATCCAAGTTTATCGTTTTAAAAAGGCTAATTGATCATTAGAAAACCCTTTTGCAATTATGTTAGCACAGCTGAAAACTGTTGTGCTGATTAAAGAAGCAATAAAACTGGCCTTCTTGAGACTAGTTGAGTATCTGGAGCATCAGCAATTGTGGGTTCGATTACAGGCTCATAATGGCCAGAAACAAAGAACTTTCTTCTGAAACTCGTCAGTCTATTCTTGTTCTGAGAAATGAAGGCTATTCCATGCGAGAAATTGCCAAGAAACTGAAGATCTCGTACAACACTGTGTACTACTCCCTTCACAGAACAGTGCAAACTGTCTCTAACCAGAATAGAAAGAGGAGTGGGAGGCCCCGGTGCCCAACTGAGCAAGAGGACAAATACATTAGAGTGTCTAGTTTGAGAAACAGATGACTCACAGGTCCTCAACTGGCAGCTTCATTAAATAGTACCCGCAAAACACCAGTCTCAACGTCAACAGTGAAGAGGCGACTCCGGGATGCCGACCTTCTAGGCAGAGTTGCAAAGAAAAAGCCATATCTCAGACTGGCCAATAAAAAGACAAGATTAAGATGGGCAGTCTGAGATACGCTTTTTCTTTGCAACTCTGCCTAGAAGGTCAGCATCCCGGAGTCTATTTAATGAAGCTGCCAGTTGAGGACCTGTGAGGAGTCTGTTTCTCAAACTAGACACTCTAATGTATTTGTCCTCTTGCTCAGTTGGGCACCGGGGCCTCCCACTCCTCTTTCTATTCTGGTTAGAGACAGTTTGCGCTGTTCTGTGAAGGGAGTAGTACACAGTGTTGTACGAGATCTTCAGGTTCTTGGCAATTTCTCGCATGGAATAGCCTTCATTTCCCATAATGGGCCTCTGTACGCCTATGTAGATATTCCATTAAAAATCAACCGTTTCCAGCTACAATAGCCATTTACAACATTAACAATGTCTACACTGTATTTCTGATCAATTTGATGTTATTTTAATGGACAAAAAAATGGCTTTTCTTTCGAAAACAAGGAAATGTCTAAGTGACCCCAAACTTTTTTAACGGTAGTGTATATTTTATTTTGCATCTCAGAGCAGCTCTGTAACCACAGTGCAGATAGTAGTTACTGTACAACAGCATTTCCGCTGAGATGTCTCTGTTGATTATGGTATTATAAAGTTACTGACATACTGTCATGTGGCGTTACTCACCACAGAGTTGAGAGGGATAGGTACTCCAATAAGAGATGACATCAGTGGTGCTACGTCTGCCTGTAACACACATCTAGCATCAGACTCGGAACAGATTACTGTTGTTTTTGGACTATTTTCAACACACAGAGGAAATATGTGGTTGTGACATCATCAGTCAGCGCCAGAAGCTGTGAGGCTACATGGGTGTCTCACCTGATTGACATCAACCCTGCGGAGGCCCTCCAGCTGCCATTCTGAAAGAGAAACACCAACAAACACATTGTGTTATGTCAGCATTATGACCGTTTTATACAGGTAAAACAACTGATGGTTGGAGTAAAGTGTTACTACAGAATTATACAATCTCTGACCTCCCTTTTCCCCTCTAGAAGAGTTGAAAGAGGAGAGGAGAGTAGGAGGACAGACACACATACACACACCATTAGTACTGAGTTATTGTACCTTGTAGGTATCCATCTGAGTAGTTCTGGGGGTCAGTAACTCTCTGAGCAGTGTGAACCCCAGCCCCCCACACCAACAACGGGGTCAGGGTCTCAGAGGGGTGGCCTGCACCGTGGGAGCCTGGAGAAAAACAGCAATAAATGATCTACTACTTCACTACCATGGTGACCACCTTTCTGAGCTAGCTGAAGTCGTACCCCAGTTGGTCATGCCGTGGTCAGAGGTGAACACATAGGCTGTTCTTCCATCGTTGTCAAAAAAGTCCTCGACCATGGAGACCAGCTCTTTCACCCCTGAGTCAACCAGACGTATGTTCTCTAGATACTCCCTGAGCACAACGCACACAAAGGGGATTTTTAAGAAACAAAATCAAACGGGTTCATTAGTGGTCTAATTGAGTCGGTGTTTCCTGCCATCCATTGTGTAGACCCCACTACTGCAGTCCTTCATTTAAAGGTACTAGAGAATAATGTATCACTTGTTTGTACATGGTTTCTGTACATTCTGTATATTCCTGTACATCTAGAACATGTGATATTTCTGGTCTGTAGAGGGTGTCTTATCTCACTGTGACATGGGTCTGTGGGCATGTCCATTGGTGTCAATGCCCAGTAGGTGGAGGAAGAAGACATTCTGATCCTTCTGTAGACTGGACATCAGACTGGAGTTCTCTCTGGCAGACTGGAGGAACCACTGGGAGAGAAGAGGTGGGGGAGAGAGCCAAATAGATACAGTGTATGTACACCCATGCTGAGACAAACACACATATCCTAACACACACCCTATTCTCATCATCAAAACTACCTTGACTTCATCAAAGACCCAGGTGTCCAGTCTGGAGGCGTCGGTGGAGGCAAAGTCCTCTCTCTCTGCTGGGTAGGTGTGGGTGTACACATGGTCCCCACTGGCACCTGCAGGAGAGGGGGGCAGAGGTGTAGATGGAGATGATGGCAAGAATTATGAAAAGAAAGCGATGGGGGGGGGGGGGGGGGGGGTCGAGAGAGAGAGAGAAAAGATAGGATGATTTTATTTCCGATCTAATAAGCCACACGTGCATGGTGGTGTATGTGTGTATCTCCTGTATTTTAATGGTTGTGTATTGTACATGTGTTTGTTTACCTTTGGCGAACATGGGCAGGATGTCAGGGCTGCCCCAACACCAGGTGTGTCTGCTCTCATTGAACACTGAGTCAAACTCCACTGGGTTCTCCTTCCAGCCTACACACACACACACACACACACACACACACACACACACACACACAAAGAGAAAAGATTATGACACTAGGGAAATTCCACAGTATACCTTGTGAGACTCAGATTTTTCACTTTAGAAATGTACAGTACCAGTCAATGGTTTGGACACACCTACTCATTCAAGGGTTTTTCTTTATTTTTACAATTTTTTACATTGTAGAATAATAGTGAAGACATCAAAACTATGAAATTACACATAGGAATCATGTAGTAACCAAAACAAGTGTTAAACAAATCAAAATATATTTTATATTTGAGATTCTTCAAATAGCCACCCTTTGCCTTGATGACAGCTTTGCACACTTTTCTCAACCAGCTTCATGAGGTAGTCACCTGGAATGCATTTCATCTAACAGGTGTGCCTTCTTAAAAGTTAATTTGTGGAATTTCTTTCCTTAATGCGTTTGAGCCAATCAGTTGTGTTGTGACAAGGTATACAGAAGATAGCCCTATTTGGTAAAAGACCAAGTCCATATTATGGCAAGAACAGCTCAAATAAGCAAAGAGAAATGACAGTCCATCATTACTTTAAGACATGAAGGTCAGTCAATACTGAACATTTCAAGAACTTTGAAAGTTTCTTCAAGTGCAGTCATAAAAACCATCAAGCGCTATGATGAAACTGGCTCTCATGAGGACCGCCACAGGAATGGAAGAACCAGAATTCCCTCTGCTGCAGAGGATAAGCTCATTAGAGTTACCAGCCTCAGAAATTGCAGCCCAAATAAATGCTTCACAGAGTTCAAGTAACATACACATCTCAACATCAACTATGCAGAGGAGACTGCGTGAATCAGGCCTTCTTGGTCGAATTGCTGCAAAGAAACCACTACTAAAGAACACCAATAAGAAGAAGAGACCTGCTTGGGCCAAGAAACACGAGCAATGGACGTTTGACCAGTGGAAATTTGTCCTTTGGTCTGGAGTCCAAATTTGAGATTTTTGGTTCAAACCGCCGTGTCTTTGTGAGACGCGGTGTGGGTGAACGGATGATCTCCGCATGTGTAGTTCCCACCGTAAAGCATGGAGAAGGAGGTGTTATGGTGTGGGGGTGCTTTGCTGGTGACACTGTCTGTGATTTATTTAGAATTCAAGGCACACTTAACCAGCATGGCTACCAAAGCCTTCTGCAGCGATACGCTTTCCTATCTGGTTTGGGCTTAGTGGGACTATCATTTGTTTTTCAACAGGACAATGACCCAACACACCTCCAGGCTGTGTAAGGGCTATTTTACCAAGAAGGAGAGTGATGGAGTGCTGCATCAGATGACCTGGCCTCCACAATCCCCCAACCTCACCCAATTGAGATGGTTTGGGATGAGTCAGATGGCAGGAAAAGCAGCCAACAAGTGCTCAGCATATGTGGGAACTCCTTCAAGACTGTTGGAAAAGCATTCCAGGTGAAGCTAGTTGAGAGAATGCCAAGAGTGTGCAAAGCTGTCATCAAGGCAAGGGGTGGCTATTTGAAGAATCTCAAATATAAAATATATTTTGATTTGTTTAACCCTTTTTTGGTTACTACATGATTCTATATGTGTTATTTCATAGTTTTGATGTCTTCACTATTATTCTACAGTGTAAAAACATTTAAAAATAAAGAAAATCCCTTGAATGAGTAGGTGTGTCCAAACTTTTGACTGGTAGTGTATGTCAAACAAAAACCAATGATTGTAAAGTTAAACAAATCATACAACTCTATGCACAAGGACTACTTTTAACAATTACTTCTTTTTTTTATTCACTAAAAATATTTATATAACATTTACTTTAAGAACAGTGCAGATACATACATTTTTAAGTGGAACATTTGGGTCTCAGTGTCACTCTGTTACTGTGGAATTGCCCACTGCCATTAGTAACACGAACAAACACACACACACACACACACACACACACACACACACACACACACACACACACACACACACACACACACACACACACACACACACACACACACACACACACACACACACACACACACACACACACACACACACACACACTGACCTTTAGCTACAGCGCTGACATCTTCGTAGAAGCCAGCGATCAAAGCAACGTGTCCAGGTCGAGACTCAGTGGGAACACGAGTGTGTGACACACCCCAACTCCCTGTTTCCTCCATCACACTCCTTCAGAACACACACACACATACACACTGTGAGAAATGCATCTACGCGCCTGAGCATACACATACACCTCTCCGATTCCACACACTCCCCCCACCCCCATCTCACAAACCATCTGAGTCCACACACACTTCCATACAGCCAGTTAATCTGAAAGAGCTCAGTTACCTTAAGTAAGGTGCCCTGGTGGACCCATTGGCATCAGGCTTATAGAGGCTGTCTGCCCTGAGTCCATCTGCAACCACCAGCAGCAGGCGGGAGGCAGGGGGAGGCAGGGGGGACACCTGGGGGGCCATGCCGTGGACCAGGGGCGACGTGAAGTAGATGTCAAAGATGGAGATGAAGAAAATGACATGGACCAGAAGTCCAACCAGGAAGAACATTATCATCCTCATGATGAAGACTGGAGGCTGGGGAGACCCCAGAGGTTCTGGAGACAGGGATGAATGAATGGAGAGGAACAGAGAGAGCAGAAAATAGTTATTATCGACAAAAGAGCAAAGCAGGGAAATATAGACATCAGATAATCTGTAAGGTGCTACCGTCCATTCATACATTGTCAGAAACTCTAGCTATCTCATCCACTCACTAGAACACAAATGTGTTCCACATGTCAACAACATCAGACGTGCTAAACAGAATAAAGATCTTACCTTTCCACACTTTCTTGTTTCAAGCCGGTGGCAGACTAGTCACTTGGAATCTTGAATAAATGAGAGTTTCAAGTCATTCAAACACACACAAGACACACACCTGCCACTGCTTGCTGTCTAGCGACCCAACTTCACCCATCAACAGAGCCTAGTTTCAGGTTAACTAAATTAAGAAACACACTTATACAACCTTTAGGACAGTGTGTCACGCTTATCTACCGGCGCGACAGGCTTTAAAAACCTGCTGTCTGTCTTTCTAAGCAGCTTATAAAATAAATCAGTCCACACTTTAACGCTACAGCGCCACTTCCTTGTTGTAAATATGACGTTTCAACTGAGCTACAGCAATGGTCCGTGGGTATTGTAGTTCTAGTACTGGCATTTTATTTCGCAGTTGGCTACAGAAATGAAATAGGTCATTGTCGCTATTTGGGATTCACATTGTTATAACTATATAGCAATGGTCCGTCCATCCATGCATTATTTTAGTGATGGTGAGAAAATGATCACTCTCCACCAGCAAGGTTAGCTAGCTGTCAAACCGATGCTGTCAGCTGTCAAAGCTCCTGCCCTGCCCAGTTTCTCCCTAAACACTCCCGTATCCAATCCAATCCCGCTATTACATGGAGAAGGCGGGTGTTGGAATGACATTCAACCAAACGCTACCCTGCATTCACCCCTTTTCATGTTGATCGGGGAAGGAAGGGTTCAGCCAGCTAGCCTCCTAGCTAGCCATCCGTCCAGGAAGACGGGTCCAATTCTAAGCTAGCTAGCTAGCTAGTTTGCTACTAAAATCTTTATAGTGGGAAAATGGCGGCGGGTAACGTCAACCCGTTTAATCTGAGCGATTCTGACGATGAGGCAGAGCAGAGAGCAGAGGACGGGGTTGACATCGAAAAGAGCCCTAGCGATGGAGCGCCAGGCCCCCTGTCCAACAACCCATTCTCCCCGCAAGCGGACGCCGAGGCCCCGGGCCTTTTAGTGTCCAGCACCCGGACCAGCCCCAGTGTGGAAGGCATCTCGGTATCGGCCTCAGCTGCCGCTATGGCAGAGACCCGGGTATCCGTAGATGTGATCGCCGCTCAGCTAATACGGGATCATTACATCCTCACGGCCCTTGAGTTTCATACCGAACTGTTGGAGTCAGGGAGGGAGCTTCCGCGGTTGCGTGATTATTTCTCCAACCCGGGCAACTTCGAGAGGCAAACCGGCACTCCGCCCGCTTGTAAAGACCAAGGACTGGGGCCAGGGGGACCGCTAAGTAAGTAGCTAGCTAGCTAGCTATTAGTTAACCTTACTAGCTAACAACCCAATGCGTTATGATGTAGCTATCTGTGTGTGCTAGTTCGCTTCCTGACAGTATTATTATTCAATGGGGAAACAATGCTGGTAGAGTAACGTTATAGCCAGTAGTCTACTGCTCGCACTGTGCTTATCAGCCAACATTGGGCTGGTTATACAGAATAAACGAAATTCGATACGATACCTGTCTTTCTCTCCAACTGGCTAACAATGGAAACAACGGAAACTTCAACGTGATCATGATTATTCACTAATCATAGACAATTAGCGCACCTACCTTCGTTAACCTGCTGTGGGGTGAGTTTCTCCCCAGCCTATGTGCCAGCTGGCTTTGAACAGGTGCAACCAGAATAGTATTGACCATGTATAGCTGGCGACCTGAAAAGGCCTATCAGACATTCATGTGCAAATGATGCCTGGCACCTTCTTTATAGTGTAGTAATTAATATATTTGCATCATGCCATCATGTAGGCTGCTGCTAAAGGTGGCTATACATGGCGCTGTGCTACTCCAACACTAACTAGGCCTGTCTCTCTAACTGCCTTTAGCTGTCTGTAGGCCTAGATGGTGGACTTAGGCATATTGATCATTGTTAGAGCCATCATTACATTGGTATTACACAGTGGTACATGGTATTATAACTCCTCTCTGTGTTCATTCAGCATGACAATGGTAGAATAGTTGGCTACAGTACATAATAAATCCACCTGGCCTACAGGTTGTAAGGAATTATTCCTAGAAGTTGAAGAGGAGAGTGTAGGGTCAATGGGTAGATAGAGGTGTGTCTCCTGTGGTATTTGCCCCCTTCCCCCTTCTACGGCATTGATTTGAGACACACAACACAAATAGTACGCTGACACAAATGAGCTCCTAGAGTGTGCAGCTCTCCTTATCTTTTTCAAATTGGTGCACCACCACGACTGCTACTGCAACATCAAACCACACATTCAACTGCCCCAAATCTTAAGGGAATGGGTTCTTTGACATTTCCATCACTGAACACAGGAATGCATGTGTAGGCCTAGTTCAGATCTGTGTATTCTGTGTTCTACTGTTGCAGGTACAATCAAGGTGTGTGACCTAATTAGCAATTTTGCATCCCTTTCTACTACTAAAAGCTACGATAAGAACAGTGGCCTGAGCTGTGTAAACTACATTTCCATGATTGTGTGACGTGCCTCCCACTTTCCTTCCTACCTGATCTAACACAACTGGATAGATGAATGCAGGGGTTCCGTTACAAAGCCTTCACCAGCCCAGTCATGTGAGGTCAGTGATAAGGCTGTCTTGGGAGGGAGGAAGGATGCTTGTCATGATATAATTATTTAAATTAATGTACCTAATAGCCTCTATCTATAGCTGCCATTGTTCAGCGCATGGCTAGGCCTAATTGCTTCTGTCTGTCTGGCGCCTCGCCGGTTGTTGTGGAGCTTGAGGACTAAGGTATCCCAGGGGGCATTGCTCTCTACGGATGGGAGGGGGCTTGGCAAAAGGCCTCAGAACAGCAGTGGCATATGGCACTACAGGCAGCCACACCCAGTGTTTCCCTATATGCATTTAGCAGAGAGGCACACATAAAAAAATTTTATCAGGTAGATGTATGCCCCCAGGATGAATTTTTTTGTGGGGTAAGGGGGGGGTTAGAAGGATTACTTTATCCTATCCCAGGTGTTCCTTAAAGAGGTGGGGTTTCAAATGTCTCCGGAAGGTGGTGAGTGACTCCGCTGTCCTGGCGTCGTGAGGGAGCTTGTTCCACCATTGGGGTGCCAGAGCAGCGAACAGTTTTGACTGGGCTGAGCGGGAACTGTGCTTCCGCAGAGGTAGGGGAGCCAGCAGGCCAGAGGTGGATGAACGCAATGCCCTCGTTTGGGTGTAGGGACTGATCAGAGCCTGAAGGTACGGAGGTGCCGTTCCCCTCACAGCTCCGTAGGCAAGCACCATGGTCTTGTAACAGATGCGAGCTTCAACTGGAAGCCAGTGTAGTGTGCGGAGGAGCGGGGTGACGTGAGAGAACTTGGGAAGGTTGAACACCAGACGGGCTGCGGCATTCTGGATGAGTTGTAGGGGTTTAATGGCACAGGCAGGGAGCCCAGCCAACAGCGAGTTGCAGTAATCCAGACGGGAGATGACAAGTGCCTGGATTAGGACCTGTGCCGCTTCCTGTGTAAGGCAGGGTCGTACTCTCCGAATGTTGTAGAGCATGAACCTGCAGGATCGGGTCACCGCCTTGATGTTAGCGGAGAACGACAGGGTGTTGTCCAGGGTCACGCCAAGGCTCTTCGCACTCTGGGAGGAGGACACAACAGAGTTGTCAACCGTGATGGCGAGGTCATGGAACGGGCAGTCCTTCCCCGGGAGGAAGAGCAGCTCCATCTTGCCAAGGTTCAGCTTGAGGTGGTGATCCGTCATCCATACTGATATGTCTGCCAGACATGCAGAGATGCGATTCGCCACCTGGTTATCAGAAGGGGGAAAGGAGAAGATTAGTTGTGTGTCGTCTGCGTAGCAATGATAGGAGAGGCCATGTGAGGATATGACAGAGCCAAGTGACTTGGTGTATATAGCGAGAATAGGAGAGGGCCCAGAACTGAGCCCTGGGGGACACCAGTGGTGAGAGCACGTTGTGCGGAGAGACAGCTTCTCGCCACGCCACTTGGTAGGAGCGACCGGTCAGGTAGGACGCAATCCAAGAGTGAGCCGCGCCGGAGATGCCCAGCTCGGAGAGGGTGGAGAGGAGGATCTGATGGTTCACAGTATCAAAGGCAGGATGCTGAGGAACTCAGCCTGTCCTATGTTGTGTTAATTTCACTGATAAACAGGAAAAGAGATGAGAGAGGGGGGCAGCTTGAGGGTCTGTCCCTACTAGAGACAGTAGGTCTACAGCCCAGGGTGGGTTTCCTTGCCAATGTCCCCTCTGCTTGCTCTTTCCAGGTTTTGGTCAGGACTGTACACAAATACAATGACATTGATTTGTTAATGTGGGGTTTAAGATCCAGTAGTAGAACTAAAGAAGTGGCAGTTGATGTTTTAACATTGAATGTTAGAAACTCCATTTGATGCCACATCATTTAAAACTAATAGGTGTCATGCACCACGTCGGGAGCGTATGGAAAAATATAGGAAAAGGTGTTGAGTGGTCACTGGGTAAAGAAGCTGTCTCACACAGGCCTAGGCTAGGCATCAAAATGGTCACTTGTTGCTGTTAGCACTCCCATAATATTATGATCTGGCTAGATTTCTGTCACCACCCTGCTAATTTAACAGACTTAGCAGCAAGCATGCTACACTGGTCACCTGCAGCAGGCCTCTCACTGCACAACTCAACACCATAACCCACTGAGCTGAAGCCTAAGCATTAGACCTAATTCCAGGAGCTAATACAAGTCTTCAGGTTCTGAAGACTCAGGGGGTGGTTAGGCTATTCATCGAGCAAGAATAGCTGGACGAGCCACCACCCATTTGCACAATGCTCCTCTCGCCCACTCTCTCTCTCGCCCTCTCTACCCAGCTCATTGTTTTCTCCTCTGTAGCTCGCTGATTAGCATCTCGCTACAGTCTGCTTGTTCAACTCCCAGTTCAATCAGAGACTAAGGTGTTAGCATTAGCGCTCCATTTTAGCTAGCTACTCTGTTCCTTGAAAGACTTAGCTAAGGGCTATCCTACTACCCTGCTCTCTTTGGCACTAGCAGGCACACACAGGCAAGCACACACTTGCTCACACAGATCAAGAAGAACACACCCTTAATCGGTTAGAAGAAATCACTCACATAAACATGCACGCAGTCAGAAGAAAACACACAGACACAGATTTGCTGCAGGGCTGTGAGATGCTGATTAATCACACTGTGGGACGTTTGGCTCTGCTCAACCTGTTTCTGTTCTGGCCTGTCTGAGCTCCTGCTCATCTCTACCTTTTATTTGTGTGTGTGTGTGTGTGTGTGTGAGTGAGAGAACGGGTGTGTGTGCACATGCACATCTCAGTGTGTAGGCCTACACTGTCTGTGTACCTGATCATCCATGCTGTAGAACACATCTATTGTTATATTGAGTCTGTTTTGAGACTTTATTTGAACAGGGAGTCCCATTGAGACCAAGGTCTCTTTCGCAAAGGAGCCCTGCATACACACAATTTACAAAATACAATATGTGTCACTGTTCTTCACGTCCCTGTCAGTGGGTATAGAGGTGAGGAGTCTCCTGTAGAGTCAGACAGCTGTTGGGCCAGCCAGGCCTAGAACCATATATAGAGCTTGAATAAGCCTACATCACACACACACACACACACACACACACACTGTCTTTGATATGAGTGAATTGCAGGGAGGGAGGGAGGAGCAGTGCAGTGTAATCACCTGGACTTGGAACATCCCCTCTGGTTTGGTAAGGAGAGGAAGAGGGGTAGGCCTTAGGGAAGAAAAGCCAACTACCCTACTCTGCACTACCATACAATCCCTACTCATTACAGGGTAATTCAGTCTTAGTCTCAAAATGAATGGTCATCTCTCCCTTTACTTTCGCTATGCTATCTGTGTTGAGATGGGAGTGAATGGCAGGCTATATAGTTGGACAGGCATATGAGGTTACTAGAAGGAAAGCTAACTCTGTCACTCACTGAAACAATAGTTATAAAATGGTCCTTATCACATTCTACATCTAGATCTACATTTCCATTGTTTAGGTATGTTTCTGAAACCAGGGTGATCTATTGCATAGAAAACTAACCGGTTTGGGTGTTGAGTCTACCCCCATGTTCTCTCCTGTCTACACATATAGTGTTTGGTTTATATTCTGTTATGATTTCTTCCAAGCTGTTGTTTATAGTCAAGGTGATGAGGTGAATACTGTAATAATCACTGGACGCTCTGTTAATGAATATGCTGTTTACCATTGATTGATTCATTGATTGATTCATTGACAGCGCTCTGTCTCTCTCCCGTCAGACCGAGCGGGCAGCATCAGCACATTGGACTCTCTAGACTTCGCTCGTTACTCTGACGACGGGAACCGGGAGTCGGACGAGAGGGTGGCAGGTAAGACGAGGCGTACCTGTGATGTCCTGACCGGGCGGAGACTGAGAGACGGACATGAAGAAGGAGAGAAACAGAGAAAAGGGAGACAGACAACAGATAGAGAAGAGCAGGGGAATAGAGTGACAGAGACAGCAGAGTATACAGGACCTTTCCTTGTCCTTTATGATGTCGAGGTGTAACTACAACCCTTTATGATGTCACAGTGTAACTACAACCCTTTATGATGTCACAGTGTAACTACAGCCCTTTATAATGTCACAGAGTAACTACAGCCCTTTATGATGTCACAGTGTAACTACAACCCTTTATGATGTCACAGTGTAACTACAACCCTTTATGATGTCACAGTGTAACTACAGCTCTTTATGACGTCACAGTACACACCCAGCCCTTGATGTCATAATGTAAATCCAGCCCTTTATGATGCCATAGTAGTACTCCAACCCTTTATGATGTCACTGTAAATCCAGCCATTTATGATGCCATAGTAGTACTCCAGCCCTTTATGATCTCACGGTGTACATCCAGCCATTTATGTCACAGTAGAACTCCAGCCCTTTAGGATGCCACATTAACATTTATGGCATCATTAGGCCACACCAGCCCTGTAGACTTCACTGATGATGACTATGGTATCACTATGGTTCCATTCCAGATTTACCTACCCATTCAAATATCCCTGTTTAACCTACCTAAGCCTTCCATGGGCCTTTCTAGTATGTCTACAGCTCAGAGAGATTTATCTCCATGTTCCTCTTACTAAGCCTTCCTGGTTTACATAAAGCAGCAAATGTAATTGAGACAGTGTTATTTTCCCTCACAGGACCTGTCAGTGTCACTGGATGTTGTGAAATTGCACACTTAAAAAAAAAAAAAAGCTGTTCTCACAACACCCACCAGCTAATCTTTGCTGAATACGTTAAAGATCAGAGGATGAACTGAATACGTTAAAGATCAGAGAGGATGAACTGAATATGTTAAAGTGCAGAGAGAATGAAATGAATACGTTAAAGATCAGAGAGGAGGAAATTAATACATTAAAGATCAGCGAGGATGAAATGAATACGTAAAATATCAGAGAGGATTAACTGACCAAGACGACGAGTAGAGGACCAAGGTATCCATCCAGGAGGGGCTATACTACACAGACCTCTCTGTTTGTTTTCTACATTTAGCCAGACAGGATGTGATGACTAGAGACCAGTACTGTGAATAAGATGCAAATGACTATAACTGGAATACTGATAACTGGACACTCTGCTCCACATAGGAGCTCATCTTTTTATGTGACTGTTAATTGGCCTGTTGTGTTTTATTTTCTGAATGCCAAAATGCCAAATGTCAATTCCAACCCTTTAGCTTTGTAAGATGAAAGTTCTGGACAATTCTCCAGGAACCATGCAGCAGAGCAAGCCTGTGGTCCCTTCTTCACAACCACAGACCCTCTACTCCTCCATCCTGCCATCCCTCCATCCCTCCATCCTGCCCTCCCTCCATCCCTCCATCCTGCCCTCCCTCCATCCCTCTATCCTGCCCTCCCTCCATCCCTCCATTCTGCCCTCCCTCCATCCCTCCATTCTGCCCTCCCTCCATCCCTCCATTCTGCCCTCCCTCCATCCCTCCATTCTGCCCTCCCTCCATCCCTCCAATTTGGCATCTCCTCCTCCCTAAACCTGCCTCTCCTCCGTCGTCCCAACATGTCGCCCCCAGCTGTCTGACTCTGGGTTTTCTGGCTGTTCTGATCAAACCCTGGCCCAATACTGGACATCCCTCCATCCAGGCTATCAGCTCTCCTCTTTTTTCCCCCCTTTTTTCTTCTTCTTTTTTTGGGAGGGGTTCTTCAGTTTTTTCTCCATTTTGTTGTCTTTTGTTGCGTCCTGTGTACTCTTGACCTGCAGTGGGAAGTATTGTCTGGACCTCGTTAACTAGGACAGAATTGAACAGCCACTGAGTCCCGACTACTGAAGCGGCAGATCTTCAGTTCACAGCCATGCAACATCTCCTCTCTGCTCGCCATTGCTTCTCTTCCTCCCGTGTGGTTTTCTTCAATGTGTCTGAAGAGCAACCTGTGGAGTATTTCCCTGCTCATGCACTTGTTATTTGATTGAATCTCACTACTGTAGTCATTGATAGACTTCTTACATGAGGTTTTAGAGCCCTCTTAATGTAGCATACTGTAATTACAATCCATATGTTAGTTTTTCTCCTGTATGTAAGTAGCGGCTATAGTATCCACTCCTATGCTTAGGCCTAATCATATACTGTATTAAAACACAGAACATTTGACCAACCACAAATCAAAAAGTGCCACTTCAAATTTGAGCAGAGTCTAATGTTTTGCATAGCCTGGAACTCACTTTTTTATCTATTGATTGTACAATCCCTGGTCAGACAGCTATTAGCATATTATTTAGGCTGCATTCCATTTAGTGGTTTCATCTCTCTCTCACTCCTGTCTATACTGATCTTAAACAACTGGAAAGGTGAAAGCAGATTCATAGAAGGTATCCTCCACATTGCTTTTACCTATCCTGGGTTTTCAGATCGGTGCAAAGGAGATGAGGAGAGGTAGCTGCTTGACATTCTTTCGATGCACCCTTAGACACTATTCCTTAGTCAGCTATCCCAGGATCCTCTGCTGCATGCGTTCATTAGACCCCATAGTTTGCATGTCTCCTGTTTTCAAAACAATTTTTGTTTGTTTGTTTCATTTTTCATGGCCATGTTTTTGTTTGTTTGTTCCCACTCCTTGGTTGGATGCACTTCCTTCCTGTGTGTTGTGATGTCACTTCCTGTCCAGTGCTGGAGTTTGAGCTACGGAAAGCCAAGGAGACCATTCAGGCTCTACGCACCAACTTGACTCAGGCAGCAGGTGGCGTACTTAACACTTCTACTCCTCCATTTCATCCCTCTCTCGTCTCTCTCTTTCTAAGGAGATTCTCTCTAGCTCCTCCCCTGTTTTACTGAAGGGTGGAAGGGTTCATCTGTTCTGTTGCTTTATTGTCTTTCTAGAGAGCGACACTCAGGAGAGAAACAAGAACTACAGTTCACATCCTGAGACTCAGGTAGGCTGGACACTCTCCTATACAGTGCTAGTAGCTGTATGCAGTTCACTTGTGGAGTACCACTGCAGCAAATACACAATGTTTCTTAAAAAACACTGTTTGTTGAGAAACTTGACTTTTCAAGTTGATTCATGGTTTATTTCCCTCTGTCCTCTTCCCCAGGAACCTATCCGCCCACTAGAGAAGCGAGCCTTAAATTTCCTTGTGAATGAATATTTATTAAAGAATGAATACAAACTGTCGGCCATCACGTTCTCTGATGAAAATGATGACCAGGTAATGTTTGTTTCTTTGAGTTGTTGGCCTGAACATTTTACAACTAGAACATTTAGTGCTGCACAAAATGCTATATAGTAAACGCAATCGTGATCCCATCTTTTTTTGTCGTTCAGGACTTTGAGTTGTGGGACGACGTGGGCCTGAACATTCCAAAGCCTCCCGACCTATTACAGATCTACAGGAACTGTGGCTCCGCCCTCCCGTCGCCACGGGATACCGTGGACGTAGCCGTGGGGGTGGAGTCAGGCGAACTCACTGGGAACTACATTACCCAGAAATCGGATCTCTTACAGCAGGTAGGCGAGAGAGAGAGAGAGAGAAATTGTGGGTGTGTGCATTTGTGTTCTGCAGTGATGTGACTTGGAAACTAAACAAGCCACTCAGAATGTTTACATGCCAGTGTGATTTTGGGTACAGAGCTTATTGATTTAGTCTACACACCTTTTCTCCATTGGCAATGTATACTAAAATCCTCTCCTCTCTCTCTCTGTCTCTGTCTCTCTGTCTGTGGCTTCTCTCTGTCTCTTTTCTCTCTTTCTCTCCTCTCTCTCTCTCTTCTTCAGCAGCAGACGGAGGTAGTTGAGGAGTTGGAGTATCAGATTAGTCTACTGAACGAGGAGAAACAGAGTCTGGCTGACCAGATCAAGAAACTACAGAGGTGTGTGTGTGTGTGTGCGTTGGGAGAGGATGGGGTAATGGCTTTAGACTACCCTATGTGGTCACAGGTAGATGCTAATTAAAAATGTTACTGCCACAACATGTGACCTTTACCCTTTGAACTGGCATTTTCATCAGTCAGCTCTCTGTCCACCCAGGGCCTATTCAGTTGGCTGCAATCCATCAGAACTTTACAGCTATTCTGAAATTATTTGTTTTCTGTCCTCTCTTCTCCAGTGAGATCCAAAGCCTGAGAAGGACAGTGTCACCCCCTCCTCCTGACCAGGGCTCACAGCCCAACACCCCCTCCTCCTCCACCATCCCTCCCCAGCCCCCCCTGGAAAACGGTCAGTACCTGGATATCAGGGGCGCCTCAGAACCTGACAACCCCCCCACTGAGAGCAACCCCTCCACTCAGACTGTCAGTAACCCTACACACACCTCTTCACAACCCCATGCCAAGCTAAAGAGCAGAGGGATGGTGGTGTTTGACCAGCCCAACAGGTGAGTCTGAAAATAAAATATATTTACTCAGTATGATCAGTAGATGGAGCCAGTGGTCCGTAATAAACAGTCTGATTCTCCCTCAGCTTGACTGGAATGAGCTTCTTGATTCCTGTTCACTCTCACTCTCGTCTTTTTGTCATTTCTCGTCTACAGGAAGTTGTCCCCGGCATTCCAGCAGGCCCTGCTGTCCTTCTGTAAGATGTCAGCTGACAGTCGTCTGGGGGCAGAGGTCAGAGGTCACCCCTAATCACGGTCACATGACCATAGTGTCAGATATCTATGTCTTATAAGTATAGTATACTACTACTGAAACCATTTGAATACACAGTCCTCAGAGCAGTGACATATCAAAAAGTATCATCTGCATCTCTCTCTTCCCCCCCCCCCCCTCCCCCATCTCTCTCTCTAGGTGTCGAGGATAGCAGACAATGAGGAGAGTGTGATGCTGATGTTGGGTCGCTGTCTTCCTCACATCGTCCCCAATGTCCTCCTGGCCAAACGAGAGGTACCTCCCTCCTCTCCCCCCTCCTCACCCCTCTCCCCCATCCTCCCATCAACACGGTCTTCTTTCTGTCTTCAGTTTGGAATTCAACGTCTGACTCCACAGTTTTTTCACCGGTGCTCATCTCTCATCTCTCCTTCTCCCTTTCCTTCACTTTTTTTGTCCTTTCACTCTCTCACTCACTCTCTCGCTCTGTGCATGCCTCTCTGCTCCTAGAGAATGGTTGCACACCTGTGCCAGGTAAGTTAGACGCCCCCACATCTGCATGACCTCACTTGACCTCACACCCAGGTGTAACACAGACCCACGCCACAGGCTATAACCACCCAGTCTCTCATCTGATTGGCTAGTTATTCAAACTCGAGCAAGACAAAGTCATGGTAGAATTTGGATAATTTATGAAAACACTTAGGTTAGGGGTATTGTTAGTTTTAGTCATTAAGATTGCATCTGTGGTTGTGGTCTGTATAGTGGACTGTTTTACCTCTCTTACCCTGTGTGTTCTCACCTTGCTCCTTTCTGATTGGTTCCCAATAGCACACATTCTTCTCATTGAGTGATTCTTTAATCTCTGATTGGCTGAAACGGTGGCCAATCAGAGCTGATTGAACGACTGTGTGCATTTTGTCTAATTTCACAAAACATTTGTATTTGATTTATAATCTAATTTAAGTGCATTGTGTAACAGACATGCAGTGTAACTGACTAACCTATTTGAAAACGCTATCTGGCGTTGCTGTAAAGTAAGTCATCACTCTTAATGGTAAATGCTGATGGTTTCTTTCCGTGCATTAGTCTACAGCATGTTTAAAGAGCTAGTGTGGTGAGCTAGGTTTGGAATTGTGTGTGTTTTTGTGTGTAACAGTGTGGTCTGTGTGAGGGAGTGCTAGGGAGAGTCAGGTGGGCTCACCACACTGTATGTGATTTGTATATCACAGTTGTGGTTTTAATGATCTACTGACAGTTCTGAAGAATTCCTGCCCAAATCTAGGGAAAACAAAGTGGAGGAGAAGTAAAGAGAGATTGTCTTGTTCTGCCTCCGGGCGGGAATGGACTTTGTTCTGCGACTGTTAGGCAGACAGAATCAACACACACACACCTTTGTGCTCCTACTGTTTGTAAGTCACCTACTGCCAGCTCAAAGACACACCTTAGTTCTTAACTCTACAGACTATGGACTAGGAACAATAGACGTTTGACTTTGATGACTGACTGAATGAGTGAACAGCAAAACAGTAAAAACCTGCCTGCCACCTGTCGCCTATACTATCAATGATCATAAATCATTATGGTCTTATGGCAGACAGACCAAGCCTACTCTAAGATACAGCCCAATACCTGTATGGGCTTCTGGAGAACCAGGACCATAAAGAGAGTCAACAATCCCACTTCCTTTTTTCTCTGTTTTGAGGTTTAATGACTACCTGATCTACCTGGCAGAGAGCCAATTATACCATGACATTCGGGGGTCTCTATTTTGTATTGGCCTAATAGTAAAGACAAGTCGTTTAACGTTACAAATGTTTTACCGGTCCTTTTTAATGTGGCATGAACAACCAGTCATGATGTTTTAATCTTATTGTTAAACAAATCTGTGCACGTTTGTCCACACAAATAATTCCAGCATCCAAACAGAGCACTGTGCCTCTGCTATTTGATGAATGAAAAGATACATATTTTACAAAGCACCAAATAGTTTAATGACATTTGGCAATTGTCATTAAGCCTACAGTCTTGTAGCCTGAATTACAACATGTTACCATGGTGTCACTGCTATAGTTGCTACTTGGCCTCTGCAGGTCTAAACATGTTACCATGGTGTCACTCTGCTGTAGGTCCTAGTTGGACACCCCTGGTCTAAACGTGTTACCATGGTGTCACTCTGCTATAGGTCCTAGTTGGACACCCCTGGTCTAAACGTGTTACCATGGTGTCACTCTGCTATAGGTCCTAGTTGGACACCCCTGGTCTAAACGTGTTACCATGGTGTCACTCTGCTATAGGTCCTAGTTGGACACCCCTGGTCTAAACGTGTTACCATGGTGTCACTCTGCTATAGGTCCTAGTTGGACACCCCTGGTCTAAACGTGTTACCATGGTGTCACTCTGCTATAGGTCCTAGTTGGACACCCCTGGTCTAAACATATTACCATGGTGTCACTCTGCTGTAGGTCTTAGTTGGACACCCCTGGTCTAAACATGTTACCATGGTGTCACTCTGCAATAGGACCTAGTTGGACACCCCTGGTCTAAATGTGTTACCATGGTGTCACTCTGCAATAGGTCCTAGTTGGACACCCCTGGTCTAAATGTGTTACCATGGTGTCACTCTGCTATAGATCCTAGTTGGCCATCTCTGGTCTAAACATGGTGGTACCATGGCGTACCCCTGGCCGCTCTACCTACCCACATGTTGACCCAACGTTGGCCAGATGTTTTCCTTGGAACAGATCTGACTGTCGCTTGGTTCTGGAATAGAACAACGTCAGATAGGGTTCACTGAAGAAAAAGTCATAGAAGTTTACGCTTTCTCTTTCCTCAGAAGTAAATATCTGAAACAAAATAACAAACTTTGATGGTAACAGCTTGTTGACCTTTACCTTTTAATGTCCCATTCCTTATTTTAACGCTTGTGCCACTTGCAATATTTAATTAAAAAAAGAAACATACATGTTGGGGAAGTTGTTTACTTAACACTGCCCAAGCATCTGTTCTTTAGCTTTTAAAAATATTTTCTCTAACATTTGGTGAAAGCATAATCAGAATAGTTATTGTCAGTGCCATATATGTCTCTGGTGGTTGTGTTGTATGTGAAGCACGTAATATATTTTATTTGAATCAATGACAGTTGTACTCACCATCTACAGACATCCAGCATACATTCACTGAGTGACTCATTTCAGGTCTCCCCCTCCCAAGCCTCTCTTTGGTTGGGCTTGGTTGTTCTGCCAACATTCAACTTTGGGTTTGTTTCGTATGCCAACATTCAGCAGGAAAATATGAAACCTTCCTGGAAAACCCTGCTGGTTAAAAAGAAAATACATATTTTGAACTGTGTTTTTAATAGTGTATCCTTTCTCTCTAATTTGGTTGTGTGTGAGGCAGGAAGTTTGAGCTAACCACAGTTTGGCCACGAGGCAGTATGAAAGGCCCCACCTCGGCCTGGGACTACGCTTTAGTTTTAGTTCTCTCTCTCTCCAGGCTGGCTCTCGCATGAACTTCATATGAACTTTACTGTTCATAAAGGAACTTGATGTAAACCAGGGGGTATCAGTCATTCAGATTAGAAAACCATGAGACATTGTCATCATGATACATAGATGTATATAACAGCACATTGTTTCATTTGACCCTCTTCCTGTTTCTGTTGGTGGTGGTGTTGTCCTCTCTCCTACCCATAACCCCCACCCACCCACCCCTGCCTGCAAACCCTTTCTGTGCTGTGAATGCCCAAAGAGCCACAAACCCAAGCTGATCTCCCTCTTTTCATATCTGTCTCTCGCCATCCCTCTATCTCTCTCTAGGAGTTGATTCCTCTCATCCTGTGTACGGCGTGCCTCCACCCGGAGCCTAAAGAGAGAGACCAGCTCCTCCACATCCTCTTCAACCTCATCAAGAGACCTGACGACGAACAGAGGTGTGTGTGTGCGCGTGTCTGCGTGTGCGTGTGTGTTCTTATACTTAGCTGTTCTCTCTGTGTGTTTATGGGCTGATGATCAAGGGTGATCTTGACGGTGTGTGTATATTGACTCCTGGTTGTGTTTGTAGGCAGATGATCCTAACAGGTTGTGTGGCGTTTGCCAGACATGTTGGTCCCACTAGAGTTGAGGCTGAACTCTTACCACAATGCTGGGAACAGGTAGCTACTCCTCTCTCCTTACTCCTTTTCTCTCTGTTTTTCTTTCTGAAAATATTCCTCATTTATGGGGTTTTCTTCATGTGTGTAAAGTGTTGATACACAAACAATTATCTGTTACTATGGATACGACCAATATTTTGGGCCATAGGTCCAATAATATCCCAATAAAGACTCAGAATCTCATGTTGTCTCTTTCTTTCTCTGTGTCCCCCTCACCCCATCCTCTTCTTTCTCTCCTTTCCCTCATTAATATCGCTCTCTCTCTTTCTCTTCTCTATCTCTCTTATTCTCTCTCTCTCTCCAGATCAACCATAAGTATCCAGAGAGGAGGTTGTTGGTAGCAGAGGCCTGTGGTGCCTTAGCACCTTACCTGCCTGTAAGACTCTCTCACACACACACACACACACACACACACACTTGCTAGTGATGCGTAAGTTGACTCATAACCCTCAGTCCCCGCTGTTATATCCGCGGGGCGGGCGGGTTTAGGGGTCATTCAATATTGTGTGGATGAAGGGCGGGTGGGTGGCTGGCAGGTTGAATAAAGAGAAAACATAAAGAGAGTTGAAAATAAAGACATTGGAGGGCCAGAAAAGTCATGTTTGGGATAGATTTGGTGAAGTGGTAAAAGAGGATGATAGCAGTGTCAGCTATGTTATGTGTGATTATTGTGAGGCGCTATACAAATTTGACATTCACAAGATGGGGACTTGAAATAGGCCTATGGCACGTCAAGGGAACTGTAGCCTACTGTTCAGATGGGTTAAATGGAAACTGAAATCTGGACACTGACTGTTTGATTATACACCAAATGTAGGCTAAATTGTGACTTTCTTTCAGCATCTTGAGAGAATGTGAATGTGCGGTTAGATACTGTCTGTAAAGGTGCTATCTTTATCAGCATCATAAAAGCTGATAGTATTTCAACCACATAAAATATGCATCCAAGCCGAACTGAAATCTTATCAGAAACATGTTGGGTCATTTTCACAGCTTTAAATTTCCTTACAACTGGTGAAACATATGTCATTTTAAAGTTTTGCACAGAAAATTGTTCCCTTTTTTTTTTGTAATTGCATTTTCTCCCCAGTCCCTAAACGTCTTTGCTCTGCGAAAGAATCAGAGATGACAGAGAACTTTAGCGATGTCAACTATATTGAAGCATTCATTCTATTGATTTATGACATTATTCTGGTGAGCAAGGGTTTATTTAGTCTTCTAAGGCAACATGTAATGACAGAAGAGAAGCTGCATGTATCTAATTATTGACAAGTTGACTAACAAACAGCCTATCAAAATGTTGGAAATTATAAGCAGAAACATCTCTAAATCAGGCAAAAATAAATCCTGCATCCCCTGTCCAAAAATCGTTCTTAGCGGGTTAGGGTCGGGTGCGGGTCTAGGGCTGTGGCGGTCATGACATTTTGTCAGCCGTGATTGTCAATCAAATAACTGCCGGTCTCACGGTAATTGACCGTTAATTAACATAAAAACATTTAGCATCTCCTGGCTTTCACACATAGCCTACAAGCCACTGATGCAGACCTTTGGAGCATCTACATTTTAAAAAGTCAAAAAAATCAATTTAATATAGCTACACTACCACAATAAATCCATGACTTATTTTAGACCGGTCTAAAGAAACATGATAGGAAGAAAATGTAGTCTATTTCAGAAGAACAGAATAGCATACTCTGAGTTGTCCTTATGTTAGGCCCTGATCTGGCTATGCCATATGGGTGTGGGCTACACTAGTTAATATAGCAAACAAGATTTGCTTAGAATTCCGTGGCATTATTTTATATTATTTTATAGTATGAAGAATAGAACAGTTGAACATAGCTGAATTAAATAGAAAGCATGTTTTCTCCAAACGATTTCTGAGGGAGTGCGCACATGCAGCTAGCTATTCTGTGTTGAGCTGTTAACAAAGAAATAAGTCCTCCTGTGGTCGTAATGCCCCTAAAAAAATCCATGCCTTTTGCGGCCAGTGGCCGTTCTGCCCTTGGGCTGAATGTAATAATTATAATTCCCTTCTCCCAGCTGCGTGTTCCGAAGCACCTCTCACTCACATGGCTCTCTCAGATATCTAAATTCTTCTGTGCGAGAAATAAATATTCCAAACATAGTCTGGGACAGTTGTGGGATGCGATAGATCCCAAATTAATATAACCACTCGCATCAAAAAACATTTTAAAAGCAATGAGGCTGATGCAACGGATCAAACTATTAGGCTATTTCTTCACATTATAAGCGCAGTGATGCGCACACAGTGGTAGGCTATAAGCATGAATGTTCCAAAATGCAATCAATTATCGGGAAAACACTATTCTCAAAAGTGACAACAAATGTGATTATGCATGTAATGCTTTATTTTAAAGGAGCATATTTATGGTGAAAATAATCTTCCCCAAACATGAAACTCACACGCTGCCTATGTATGCCAGTTAGGCTCTACACCGGTTGTAAAGCGGATTCATGTGCTTAATTTTAAGAAGTTATTTGGCCACTTTAGTATTGATACAAGCCTTATCTAAACATATAGGCCTATTGGCTAGGCCTAATGATGTGTGCAACTATGATTTAGTATTGATACAAACCTTATCTAAACATATAGGCCTGTTGGCTAGGCCTAATGATGTGTGCAACTATGATTTGAAAAAGTCGAGAAAAAAAGGCATGCACTGTTTCTTCCCTTACAGCACACAAGCTGGGAATCATTCACAAGTGATAATATATCATTCACAAGTGATAGGCTAATATTGTCACTCATCAGACTATTCTTAATTTAATCTTGTCTTTACATATACAGTACCAGTCAAAATTTGGACACACCTACTCTACTCATTCAAGGTTTTTCTTAATTTTTACTATTGTCTACATTGTAGAATAATAGTGAAGACATCAAAACTACGAAATAACACATATGGAATCATGTAGTAACCAAAAAAGTGTTAAACAAATCAAAATATATTTTATATTTGAGATTCTTCAAATAGCCACCCTTTGCCTTGATGACAGCTTTGCACACTCTTGGCATTCTCTCAACCAGCTTCACCTGGAATGCTTTCCCAACAGTCTTGAAGGAGTTCCCACATATGCTGAGAACTTGTTGGCTGCTTTTCCTTCACTCTGCCGTCCGACTCATCCCAAACCATCTCAATTGGGTTGAGGTCGGGGGATTGCGTAGGCCAGGTCATCTGATGCAGCACTCCATCACTCTCCTTCTTGGTCAAATAGCCCTTACACAGCCTGGAGGTGTGTTTTGGGTCATTGTCCTGTTGAAAAACAAATGATAGTCCCACTTAGCCCAAACCAGATGGGATGGCGTATCGCTGCAGAATGCTGTGGTAGCCATGCTGGTTAAGTGTGCCTTGAATTCTAAATAAATCACAGACAGTGTCACCAGCAAAGCACCTCCACCGGTCTAATGTCCATTGCTCGTGTTTCTTGGCCCAAGCAGGTCTCTTCTTATTATTGGTGTCCTTTAGTAGTGGTTTCTTTGCAGCAATTCGACCATGAAGGCCTGATTCACACAGTCCCCTCTGAACAGTTGATGTTGAGATGTGTCTGTGACTTACATTTATTTGGGCTGCAATTTCTGAGGCTGGTAACTCTAATGAACTTATCCTCTGCAGCAGAGGTAACTCTGGGTCTTCCATTCCTGTGGCGGTCCTCATGAGAGCCAGTTTCATCATAGCGCTTGATGGTTTTTGCGACTGCACTTGAATAAACTTTTTGAAAGTTCTTGAAATGTTCCATATTGACTGACGTTCATGTCTTAAAGTAAGCTCTGTGGAGTGTATGGCTTAAAGTGGTCCTATGGACAGATACTCCAATCTCCGCTGTGGAGCTTTGCAGCTCCTTCAGGGTTATCTTTGGTCTCTTTGTTGCCTCTCTGATTAATGCCCTCCTTGCCTGGTCCGTGAGTTTTGGTGGGCGGCCCTCTCTTGGCAGGTTTGTTGTGGTGCCATATTCTTTCCATTTTTTATAATGGATTTAATGGTGCTCCGTGGGATGTTAAAAGTTTCGGATATTTTTTTATAACCCAACCCTGATCTGTACTTCTCCACATCTTTGTCCCTGACCTGTTTGGAGAGCTCCTTGGTTTTCATGGTGCCGCTTGCTTGGTGGTGCCCCTTGCTTAGTGGTGTTGCAGACTCTGGGGCCTTTCAGAACAGGTGTATATATACTGAGATCATGTGACACTTAGATTGCACACAGGTGGACTTTATTTAACTAATTATGTGACTTCTGAAGGTAATTGGTTGCACCAGATCTTATTTAGGGGCTTCATAGCAAAGGGGGTGAATACATATGCACGCACCACTTTTCCGTTATTTATTTTTTAGAATTTTTTAAAACAAGTTATTTTTTTCATTTCACTTCACCAATTTGGACTATTTTGTGTATGTCCATTACATGAAATCCAAATAAAAATCCATTTAAATTACAGGTTGTAATGCAACAAAATAGGAAAAAAGCCAAGGGGGATGAATATTTTTGCAAGGCACTGTACACAAACACCTGTACACACATCTTTCATCACATCTTATCCACCTGTAAGAGACTTGGCTACACCTGTGTGATTGTGTGTGTGTTCTAACTCTGTCTGTGTGTTTGTGTGTGTGTGTGTGTGTTAACAGAAGGAGATCCGTAGTTCCCTGGTGTTGTCCATGCTGCAGCAGATGCTGGCTGAAGACAAGGCAGACATGGTCAGAGAGGCTGTGGTCAAAAGCCTCGCTATCATCATGGGATACATCGACGACCCTGACAAGTACTCCCAGGTGTGTGTGCGTGCATGCGTGTTAGAAAGGCTTTCTGACCATTCTTGTGTTTGTTTGTGTTGAATGTGGTCGTGTTATACTGACTGTGGTTGTGTTCATGCTGCCGTCAGGGTTTCGAGCTGATGTTGCTGTCCCTTGGTGACCCATCCGAGAGGGTGGTCAGTGCTATCCACCAGGTGTTCATCCCAGCATTCGCTGCCTGGACCACAGAGCTGGGAAACCTCCAGACCACTCTCATCCCCTCTCTACTGGCCCGCATAGAGAAACTACTCAAGGTAGGTAGACCCACAGGGCTTTGTTTATTTGGTATATGTAAGAAAAGCTTTGCTTTTGATCCCAATGGTGACACTAACATTCTAGAATCTAGGTATAGAAGTGAACACTCTAACTGCCCTCTCTCGCTCCTTCCCTCTCTCTCCTTCTCTATCTCTCCTTCATCTCCTCCCTCTCTCACCTCCCTCTCTCTCCTTTCCTCTCCCTCCCCCTCTCTCTCTTTCTCTCTCTCTCCTTCCCTCTCTCTATCTCTCCTTCATCTCCTCCCTCCCTCTCTCACCCCCCTCTCCCTCCCCCTCTCTCTCTTTCTCTCTCCCCTCCCTCTGTCCTTCTCTCCAGCAGGGTGAACATGGTCTTGATGAACACAAGCTCCACATGTTCCTGTCTGCCCTCCAGTCTCTCATCCCTCCTCTGTTCTCTGTGGTGATTCAGAACGCTCCCTTCACACACAGAGTTAACCTGCAAGGAGACATCCCCCCCATAGAGGGTAGGAAGCACAATCGGTGACCAGTAACCTTGCTATATTCTGACTACAATATTCTCCCAAAATCTCTAGTATTTTCCTTCCCTGAACTTTAACCCCAACCTCTGACCTCTGTTTGACCCCTCAGTGACGCGGTTCCCTCGGCCGGCGTCTCCTCTGCAGGATGTAGCGACTATCGTGGGCAGCCGGGAGACGCTGAGCGCCCTCCTCATCCTGTATGATTACCAGCTAGAACATGAAGGCACTACAGGCTGGGACAGTCTGCTATGGGTGGTCAACCAACTGTGAGTGGTCTATACAGGACACACATTCACACACACACAGCCACACACTAACTCCTGACGCCCTCTCCTCTCTCTCTAGTCTTCCCCAGCTGATAGAGATAGTAGGTCGTATTAACGTAACCTCCACTACGTGTGTCCATGAGTTCTCACGTTTCTTCTGGAGACTCTGTCGCACGTTTGGCAAGATCTTCACTAACACTAAGGTAAGAGTATACTGTAGGCCTTGTGCCGGAAAGAATCTGCGCTGTTTTATTAATTTCAATGGTGCAGACTATAGCAGTCTCTCTTTCTTTCAGGTAAAACCACAGTTCCAAGAGATCCTACGGCTCTCTGAAGAGAATGTGGGTAGGTGGAAGACACACACACACACACACACACACACACACACTAACCTACACACACACACACCTACACACACCTACACACACACACACACACACACACACACACACACAGTAGGATTTTAAAGTTAAAAGTTAAAACAGGCGTGTGGTCAGATATCTCTGCCAAGAGTTTTAGTTTGTTGTTGTGGTTTGTGTGAAGTGTTTGTGTCAGGCCTTGTGTGCCTGCCAACTATTCTCTGTTTTATAAGCTCACTGAACTGGAAATCAGTTACATGGTCATATGTCAATTTCTCATTTTTTCTCTAATCTATTGTGTTTTCTGTTTCTCCTAGATGCTTTAACTGGGAATGGTATTCTGACCAAGGCTACTGTCCCCATCTATGCTACAGGAGTACTGACATGCTACAATCAGGTAAACATGTCTGTCATTGGGACAGTCTGTTGATACTCAGCATATAATGTTTGTATTAATAATGTATGTATTATATAGTGTGTACATTATATAATGTGTGTATTATATAATGTGTGTTAATAATGTGTGTATTATATGTGTGTATTATAATGTGTGTATTAAAAAAGTGTGTTAATGTATTAATAATGTTTGTATTATATAATGTGTGTATTAATACTGTGTGTATTATATAATGTGTGTATGAATAATGTATGTATTAATATATTAATAATGTGTGTATTATATAATGTGTGTATTATATAACATCTGTATTAATAATGCGTGTGTGTGTGTGTGTGTGTGTGTGTGTGTGTGTGTGTGTGTGTGTGTGTGTAATATGTGTGTTTCCTGCAGGATGATGATCGTAAGCTGCTTGTTGGTTTTCTAGAGGACGTCATGATGACACTGTCTCTCTCTCATGCCCCCCTGGACAGCCTCAAAGCCTCCTTTGTGGAGCTGGGGTAACACACACACACACACACACACACACAGACACACACAAGTAAGAATGAATGGGCAACAATCACCTAATAAACTGTTTACTGTTACTTACTTGGATCTCCTTCTCCGTCTCTCTCCACCTCCCTCTCTCTCTCTATAACCCCCCCCCCCCCCCATCTCTCTCTCTTTGTCTCTCCACCCCCCTTTATCTCTCTCTCTCTCCCGCGCTCTCTCTCTCCTCTTTCCTCTCTCTCAGGGCTAACCCAGTGTACCATGAGTTGTTACTGACAGTCCTGTGGTATGGAGTGGTCCATACCTCCGCTCTGGTCCGCTGTACCGCCGCACGGATGTTTGAGGTCCGACGCCCTGCCACAACACGCCACACTCAACACTTTCCACACACACACACACACACATTCGCTCACTAAATAACATGCTTTATAGTCTAGTGGCTAATGTCAGACGATATAAGAATGACACTGTATTTTGTTTGATGTATGTTGTATCTAAAAATGTTTATTGAGACCTGTTTTTATTGAGACCTGTTTTGTCATGGACTAGAAGTAGTTTTCTTGCTGATTTAATCTTACAGTTTTAATAAGTAAGGATTGTTGGAACACTGACTGAATTGTAAAGGTTTTTGTGTTGTATTATGCAAACAGAACTATACTGGTTTGAAATGCCTCCCTATGTCTTTCCCCTGATGCAGCCTCTGCTTGTTATTGCCTGCCCCCTCTATGGCCTGATTCCATTTAAATCCCTAGCCCCTTCCCAGAGCCCCTACCCCTTCATTGTGAACACCAAAGAGGTAGGAGCTAGGGAAAAGCATTGGATCAAAATGGAATCAGGCCTACATAAAATACACTTATGGTGAGGAGGAGGTGTTGTAGCACTATCCCCCTTCACTGTCATAGTGGTAAAGCATCCCTTCATCAAGTGGTAAGACTCCCACTTCCACTCATAGGTAAATACCACTTCACTGTCATAGGGGTATAGATATCCCACTTCACTGTCATAGTGGTATAGACATCCCCCTTCATTGTCATAGGGGTATAGATATCCCACTTCACTGTCATAGTGGTATAGACATTCCCATTCACTGTCATAGTCGTATAGACATTCCCATTCACTGTCATAGTCGTATAGATATCCCACTTCACTGTCATAGTGGTATAGACATTCCCCTTCACTGTCATAGTCGTATAGACATTCCCATTCACTGTCATAGTCGTATAGATATCCCACTTCACTGTCATAGTGGTATAGACATTCCCATTCACTGTCATAGTCGTATAGACATCCCCCTTCATTGTCAGTGGTATAGACATCCCCCTCCTCCCCTTCACTGTCATAGAGGTATAGACACCCTCCTCCCCCCTTCACTGTCATAGTGGTATAGACACATAACCCCCCTATCACCATCTCATAGTGGTATATCCCTCCCTACCATTCTCTGCAGGCTAGGCAGAAGTTGCCCCTAACCACAGATCTAGGATCAGATCCCTCTGCCCCCAGTCCTAAACATGACTATTAGGGCATGAACAAAGATCTGACTCTGGACCACTGGTTAGGGGGTAACTTCTACCAACTCTGTTCAGCAGCTCTGTTTGCTTGGCTTCTCACTTATTATCAGTTTTTCTTTTTTTTGTTTACGTGTGTGTGTGTGTTTACATGCGGGCTTGCGCGTGCGTAACATGCGTACCTACCTTGGCGCTGCTGCTACTTCTTGTCGTTGTATATCACTTTCTTTCTTTCTTTCTTTTTGTTTTCCTTTTTCCCCCTCCTCCCTCTCTCGGCGTGTTGCCATGACACTGCTGGCTCTGTCCATGCCCCGCCCCTGGGCTGTGACATCACTGTGACCTCACGGATGTGTTGTCCAATCAGCTGCTGGTGAAGGGGGTGAATGAGACGCTGGTGGCTCAGAGGGTGGTGCCCGCTCTCATCACGCTCTCCAGCGACCCTGAGATGTAAGTGTCTCCTGCTGCCTCGTCTGGCCACCTCGACCCCTCCTCGAACCTCGCAGGAAGAACCCTAACCTCTATGATGAGGAGATATATTGAATAACACCAGATCTTTCAGGACTGTAGTTGTTATGGAAACATACAACCCTTGTTAAAGGAGTCAATGATTTGACTTAGGAATTTTTTCTCAAAACTCAGGGACAATGAGGCTTTGCAACATGAATCAATTCCAAAGTAGGTGCTTTCTCTAAATGGTGTATCTTTAGGGTAGTTGCCCTGTCTGTGCTCCTAGATGGTTCAAGGTCTCTCTGACTCTGGGTAAAAGTCTTCTTTGGGCTTTCTTCCTGTAGAGGTTGAGGTGCGGTCAATGCGGTTCTGTGTTTACTGTCACTAACACCAGGCATCATCAGTGTGCGACACTAACCCACACCCCGCTAGTCACTATATAACCATGCTTGAAAGGACAGAAGTATGATGCTTTCTAAACACTAACCCAAACCCTTACCTCTAACCTTAATCGTAACTAGTCCTCAATTAAGACAAAATATGTAATGTACTTGCTCATCAGTTCTGACAATATAGGTCATTTTGTCCTTTCTGGCATGATCTACCCAATCATGTTCATCGCATCATCAGTCTGCTACACTACCCCAACTCGCGCTCTGATTGGCTGCATGTGGAAAACATCCCAGCATGCTCAGCTGTAATGCCTTACCCCCCCTCCCCCTTCCTCCTCCTCACCCCCCTTTTAGCAGATCCTCCCTAACCCTCCAACCCTCAGGTCCTGGATGATTGTCTTCACCCCTACCTCACTCTTCCTCCCTCCTAACCTCTTCCTCTCTCTCTCCCTCCCTCCTAACCTCTTCCTCTCTCTCTCTCTCTCCCTCCCTCCTAACCTCTTCCTCTCTCTCTCTCTCTCCCTCCCTCCTAACCTCTTCTCTCCTCTCTCTATCCTCCTCCTCCTCTCTCCCTCTCTCTCTCCCTCCCCATCCCTCCAACCCTTCCTCCTCTCCTCTCTCTCCCTCCCTCCTAACCTCTTCCTCTCTCTCTCCCTCCCCATCCTAACCTCTTCCCTCTCATCTCCCTCCCGCCTAACCTCCTCTCGCTCCTCTCTCCCTCCCTCCTACAACCTCTTCCTCTCTCTTCTCTTCTCCCCTCCCTCCTAACCTCTTCTCTCTCTCTCTCCTCCCTCCTACCCTCCCTCCTAACCTCTCTTCTCTCTCCTCCCTTCCCTCCTTAACCCTCTTCCTCCTCTCTCCCTCCCTCCCCTCCTAACCCTCTTCCTCTCTCCCTCCCTCCTAACCTCTTCCTCTCTCCCTCCCTCCTAACCTCTTCCTCTCTCCCTCCCTCCTAACTGTTTCCAGTTGATTCTGCGAGGCATGTCAGAGGCTTTAATAGACCGCCGGGTGGCCCCGGCTCTTATAACACTGTGCAGTGGCCCTGAATTGTGAGTCAACGAAGATGAGACGTTTCCTCTCCTCCTCTCTCTATCCCTCCTTCCTCAGCATCCTCTTGGTTCTATTTAGTGTATTATATTATTTAAATCCATACGGACACTGGAATGATCTAACATCACCATTAACATTGGCATTAACATACATGATACACACTGATGATTGGTTGGTGTTGGTCAGTTTTATATTGTTATCTTCTGAGCTGCATCTTGTAGTTTTAATAAAGCAGAGACCTGGTTCTATTCTAACTCCTGTCTGGGTTATAGTTCAGTCAGGATATCTACTATCCCTGCCTTTGGCACCATCATGGAGACGGTGACACAAAAAGAGGTACGAACATGCAGATTTGCATATATGCACATACTACACACTCGCATTAAACAAGTCTGGGTTGTATGATTGAGCACAGGTGTTTTTAGTATTGTGGTATCGTATCCGTGTGTATTAGGGGGAGTATCCATGTTGGCATACATGCATGTATTAATGTGTGTGTGTGTCCCAGCTGTTGGAGCGTGTGAAGATGCAGCTAGCGTCGTTCCTGGAAGACCCACAGTACCAGGACCAACACTCTCTACACATGGAGATTATCAGGACCTTTGGACGGGTCGGACCCAACGCTGAGCCACGCTTCAGAGACGAGTGTCAGTACTACTGATAACACACACACACACCACTTAACCACGCTTCACAGACGAGTGTCAGTACTATCACACACACACACACTAATGCAAAGGCACACTAAAACAAGAGCGCAGACACGCACACATGGACTCAAATCCACACACACATACACACATACTCAGTGATATTGTCTGTGTTTTCTGTCTTCCAGTTGTGCTGCCTCACCTCCACAAGCTAGCGTTGGGTAACAACGTCCAGGCTACAGAGAGTAAGAGGATAGACATCGCTACTCAGCTGTTTGAGGCCTACAGCGCTCTCTCCTGCTGTTGTATCCTTCACCCAACACTGACGTTTGTGTGTGGATGTGCGTGTTGTTGTGTGTGTCAAATAAAATGTATTCGTCACATACAGCAGGTATAAAAGGTGCAGCGAAATGCTTGTGCTAGCTCCCTCAACAATGCAGTACATGAATCAATAATAACAATGAAATGAGTCAAGTCAAAAATAACAAGTCATAGAAGAGGTACTATGCATAGTAATAATGCACTGTATGTACAATTATAAAGTGGGTAGTGGAATCAATATTATATAATAGAACAGCAGCTTTGTCTGCCTGTATGAGTTGTGTGTGTGTTTATGGGTGTTTGTGTGTAAGGGTTGGCTGTGTGGGTAGTCAGTGAAAATAATTTCCAACGTGCATATAGTCTCTCCGGTGCAAATACTCTGGAAGGTGCAGGTCTGTGCAGGGAGACAACTAGGTGTAGCTTTTCAGAAGTCTGATGGCCTGGTGGTAGATGCTGTCTTGGAGCCTGTTGGTCCGAGACCTGATACTCCGATACAGCTTGCCAGATGGTAACAGAGTGAACAGTCCGTGGCTCGGGTGACTGGAGTCCTTAACGGACTTTTGGGCCTTCCTCAGACACCGCCTGGTGTAGAAGTCCTAGAGGGCAGGGAGCTCACCCCCCAGTGATGTATTGGGCCGTCCGCATCACCCTCTGTAGAGCCTTGCGGTTGAGGGGGATGCAGTTGCCATACCAGGCGGTGATGCAGCCGGTCAAGATGCTCTCAATGGTGCAGCTGTAGAACTTCTTTAGGATCCGAGGGCCCATGCCGAATTTCTTCAGGTGCCTGTGGTTGAAGAGGCTGTGCTGCGCCTTCTTCACCACTGTGGTGTGATTGGACCATGTCAGGTTCTCTGTGATGTGCATGCCGAGGAAACTTGTTACCCTCTCCACTGCAGCCCTGTTGATGACAATAGGGGCGTTCCCTGTAGTCCTCGATCTGCTCCATGGTGATCAGCTGTGTGTGTGTGTTCCCTGCTACTGTGTCCTTCACTTACAGAACTTACCTCACCCTTTATTAATGGTTGAGGCAAACAGCTACATATTAATGAGTTGTGTCAAGAGGCCTTTAAAAGGAAAAGCTAAAAGAGGCAATAGTTCATGAACTATTGAGAGAGAGAGAGAGAGAGAGAGAGAGAGAAGAAAGAGAGAAGAGAAGGAGAAAAGGAAAAGAGAGGGGGAGAAGAGAGGGGGAAAAAGAGGGGAAAAAGGGGGGAAGAAGAGGCCAAAAGGGGGGGAAAGGGGAAAAAAAGGGGGGGGGGGGGGGGGGGGGGGGGGGGGGGGGCCCCCCAAAAAGGGGGGGGGAGAGTCCTTAACCTCCCAAAACTTTCTTACTTGTTTTTCAACTCTGTGTTATAATATTAATTCAGTCACCACGGTTCAGTAGTCTTTAACTCTGTGGTGGTGTTTGGTTGTTCAGTTGTCCGGAAAGTGTTTGCTTAAACTTTGTGTTAGTGTTTGGTTGTCCGCTCCTTGACGTCCTGCTCCAGTCATCTCAGAGGAGCTGATGGTGAATCACTTCCTGCCTGGCCTGAGGTGTCTGAGGACCGACATGGAACAGCTATCTCCTGAACACGAGGTACACACACACACACACACTGACCACACAGTAGCTCTCCCAAACTACATCAAATGACCTGTTTCCCATGCCAGCTAAAGACCAGCTGATCCCATGTCCCAGACCACTTACCACACAGCGTGGAGGGAAACTTACCAGGCATACTTTCCACAGCACAGCAGTCTTAACTGGTATATTTTATGCTGTGTGTCTCCTGTCCTGTTGCAGGTGATTCTGAGCTCCATGATCAAGGAGGGGGAGATGAAGGTAGAGAACAGAGGGATCGGACAGGCCGAGGGGTGAGTACTAACACACCCCAGTAAATCAGAGCCCATGTGTCTGTGTGCTGTGTCTGTGTGTATGTCGGAGCATTCAAAATAAACACACACAAACAAAACTCTCCTAGCCTTTATCCGCTGGTTTTCATCCCACACCATGAGTGCTGTTGACTTGCTGACCCTCTGGAAGCCTGGCTGCATAAACAGTAGATAATCTTGGAAACTACAGCCTTTAGATTCAGGACAGTGGTGAGGGAGGGAGGTTAGGGGGAGGAGAGAATAGAGCCTGTAAAGAGCATTGGGACCCAGCCATAGTGTGGGTGAGAGAGGGAGGGGAGGTAAGGGAGTAGAGGGAATCAACTATTAAAGACTGTTGGACCACAGCCCATAGTGTGGCTGTCTTTGGGAGAAGTTTCTCCATCTTGTGGACATGTGTTTCTACCTCATTAAATGTGTGTGTGTGTGTGTGAGGCTGTAGCCTAGCAACACACAGTCACACACCCCAATGATTTTCTGCCTTAGTCGTATTGAGTCTTGTTTTGAGGTTGTTGTTTTTCTCATCATGTTTAATTATAACTTTAGAATCTCTGTCATCATCATCATGCACATTGTTAGAGACAAGAGATGGGTCTGTTTTAGACTTAAAGCATCTGTCAACAACCATGTTACTACACTACGCCACTCAACTCCAGCATTTTACATAACTTTAATTTGACTACTGACCATATTTGTTCCCCTACAGTTCTTTATCTGCTGTTGTTCAACCAGAGTTAGCCAGAGAGGGAAGAAGAGGAACTATCCTAACTGTCAGTCAGTAGAGAACAGAAGAGACTGTTACTGTTAACACTTAGGAAACAGCTTTTACAATTACCTGTCCAGATATATGGACAGAGAGACTGAGACAAGAGCAGAACAAAGCAAACAAATTAGCATCTTGCATCTGACAGTTAACAACAGACTGTCAATCACTCTTAACTGTATGTTTAGGGAGAGAGCGGGAGAAAGATTGTAGAGATTATAGGGAAATATTCTGGATGAATGATTTGTATACAGATTATTGTTGTACAGGCTATATAAAATACAGTATGTGCCATTCTATAGGCTATATAATATATCCCATTCTACAGTATTATCATCAATACCCTGTGTAGCCCCTGTGTAGCTCAGTTGGTAGAGCATGGCGTTTGCAACGCCAGAGTTGTGGGTTCGTTTCCCACGGGGGACCAGTATAAAAAAAAAAGACAAAATTATGTACTCACTACTGTAAGTCGCTCTGGATAAGAGTGTCTGCTAAATGACTAAAATGTCAAATGTAATATAACCCATATATACACTCAGTGGACAGTTTATTAGGTACACCACCCCGTTCACAAAAATGGTCACGTGGCTTGTTACAGTGGGGGAAAAAAGTATTTAGTCAGCCACCAATTGTGCAAGTTCTCCCACTTAAAAAGATGAGAGAGGCCTGTAATTTTTTTGTTGGCAATGAAACAGGTCAAACGTTTTCTGTAAGTCTTCACAAGGTTTTCACACACTGTTGCTGGTATTTTGGCCCATTCCTCCATGCAGATCTCCTCTAGAGCAGTGATGTTTTGGGGCTGTCGCTGGGCAACACGGACTTTCAACTCCCTCTAAAGATTTTCTATGGGGTTGAGATCTGGAGACTGGCTAGGCCACTCCAGGACCTTGAAATGCTTCTTACGAAGCCACTCCTTCGTTGCCCGGGCGGTGTGTTTGGGATCATTGTCATGCTGAAAGACCCAGCCACGTTTCATCTTCAATGCCCTTGCTGATGGAAGGAGGTTTTCACTCAAATTCTCACGTTACATGGCCCCATTCATTCTTTCCTTTACACGGATCAGTCGTCCTGGTCCCTTTGCAGAAAAACAGCCCCAAAGCATGATGTTTCCACCCCCATGCTTCACAGTAGGTATGGTGTTCTTTGGATGCAACTCCGCATTCTTTGTCCTCCAAACACAACGAGTTGAGTTTTTACCAAAAAGTTCTATTTTGGTTTCATCTGACCATATGACATTCTCCCAATCCTCTTCTGGATCATCCAAATGCACTCTAGCAAACTTCAGACGGGCCTGGACATGTACTGGCTTAAGCAGGGGGACACGTCTGGCACTGCAGGATTTGAGTCCCTGGCGACGTAGTGTGTTACTGATGGTAGGCTTTGTTACTTTGGTCCCAGCTCTCTGCAGGTCATTCACTAGGTCCCCCCGTGTGGTTCTGGGATTTTTGCTCACCGTTCTTGTGATCATTTTGACCCCACGGGGTGAGATCTTGCGTGGAGCCCCAGATCGAGGGAGATTATCAGTGGTCTTGTATGTCTTCCATTTCCTAATAATTGCTCCCACAGTTGATTTCTTCAAACCAAGCTGCTTACCTATTGCAGATTCAGTCTTCCCAGCCTGGTGCAGGTCTACAATTTTGTTTCTGGTGTCATTTGACAGCTCTTTGGTCTTGGCCATAGTGGAGTTTGGAGTGTGACTGTTTGAGGTTGTGGACAGGTGTCTTTTATACTGATAACAAGTTCAAACAGGTGCCATTAATACAGGTAACGAGTGGAGGACAGAAGAGCCTCTTAAAGAAGAAGTTACAGGTCTGTGAGAGCCAGAAATCTTGCTTGTTTGTAGGTGACCAAATACTTATTTTCCACCATAATTTGCAAATAAATTCATAAAAAATCCTACAATGTGATTTTCTGGAGAAAAAAATTCTCAATTTGTCTGTCATAGTTGACGTGTACCTATGATGAAAATTACAGGCCTCTCTCATCTTTTTAAGTGGGAGAACTTGCACAATTGGTGGCTGACTAAATACTTTTTTCCCCCACTGTATATAAAGCACGCAGACAGGCATCGAGGCATTCCGTTACTGTTCTATTGAACATTAGAATGGGCAAAATGAGTGACCTAAGCGTCGGTGCCAGCCGCACCGGTTCCAGTATCTCAGAAACGGCCGGCCTCCTGGGCTTTTCACGCACGACAGTGTCTAGGATTTACAGGTATGGTACAACAAACAAAAAACATCCAGTCAGTGGCAGTCCTGTGGGCGAAAACAGCTCATTGATGAGAGAGGTCAAAGGAGAATGGCAAGAATCGTGCAAGCTAACAGGTGGGCCACAAACAGACAAATAACGGTGCAGTACAACAGTGGTGTGCAGAACGGCATCTCGTAACGCATAACTTGTGGGCCCTTGTGAAGGATGGGCTATTGCAGCAGACTACCACACAGGGTTCCACTCCTATCAGCTAAAAACAAGAAGAAGCAGCTCCAGTGGGCACACGATCGCCAACACTGGACAATTGAGGAGTGGAAAAACATTGCCTGGTCTGACGAATCCCGGGTGCGTCATGCTGATGGCAGAGTCAGGATTTGGCGTAAGCAGCATGAGTCCATGGCCCCATCCTGCCTGGTGTCAACAGTACAGGCTGGTGTCGGTGGTGTAATGGTGTGGGGAATGTTTTCCTGGCACACGTCAGATCCCTTGATACCAATTGAGCAACGTTTTGAAGGCCACAGCGTATCTGAACATAGAATCCATGCCCTGAAGAATTCAGGCTGTTCTGGAGGCAAAGGGGTTTCAACCCGGTACTAGATAGGTGTACATAGTAAACTGGCCACTGAGTGTAAATAGCTCCCTGTGTGAGGATGATGCTATGTCTAACCTCCTTTAATACATGTACACATTTACATTTTAGTGATTTAACAGACACTCTTATCCAGAACTACTTACTTAGTGCATTCATCTTAAGATAGCTAGGTGGGACAACCATATATCACAGTAGTAAGTACATTTTCCCTCAAAGTAGTTATCAGCAAAGTCAGTGCTAGTAGGAAAAGTCATGCTGGCCAACATGTGTTCATTGTGTTTCTGTTCCTGTAGCTCTGTGTCCATTGCTGCCAGTCTGGTTGGTGAAGACGCTAAAACCAAGTTCCTGAGTAAGATGGGTCAGCTGACCACGTCCGGTGCCATGCTGGCCAACGTCTTCCAGAGAAAGAAATGATCTATCCTTCCGCCGGCTGCCTGGGGCCCAGTGCACTACATATCCCATCAGCCTCCAGTGTCTGGGAGCACCGGCCCAGCCACCAGTGATAGGCCAGGTCAGGGTCTCTGTTCGAATACCTTCTAAATGCATCCTTCACTCCTCCCTGACTTGAAAGGGGAGAGCTATCTGGCTGAACCCTAGGAAGGGAGGGTGCGCTTTGAAGTATTCAATCAGGGCCAGGGTGTATATCAATACTCTGAAGTGACTTCCTCCGCTCGTCTCAAGGAGAGAAGACGAGATGAGTAGAGGAAGTCATTATAGACTATTGAGATGCACCCAACTGGGTTTGATTTAGAATTTTTGCTTGCGCCATGTCGGCACCAAAAGCTTTATGAATGTTGCAGTCCAGTCTAGTTAGAATGTTAGTGGCGTTCTATGTCAGAATGTGATTGTTCCGGAACCTTTTGGTGTCAACATGGAGAGGACTAGCTTACTAACTGACGTCTGTATGTTCATGGCTCTGGGGAATCGCCTACTTGAAGTCAAAATCGCCTGCCTTTATTTCGTTGTTGTTTTGATAGTCTCTATTTTATAACTTATTTATGTCTTAAGACTTTATTGGTCCAAAGAAATGTGCACATCACTTTATGATTATCTTCTCTTTATTCTGTGTATGTTGATGCAGAGTCGTCTTATTATATATGATGTACATGATCATCACTACCATTCATTGGCTTTGTTTGTTTTTGTTGGAAATGTCAAGATGAAGAGAACACTGATTCCCTCTCTCGATTCCTTCCTCCCTTCCTTCCTTCCCTGTCTCGTTCTGCCTCTGCGTGTTGGTTCTTATCTAAAGTGGCTGTTCTGATTTGGGTTTTGTTCTTTTCTCTTTGGATATGCTCTACAAGTAAATAACTGTATGATACACTGAAATGAAAAGGACTGTACCCATATTATTATGTACATTTGAAATTGGTGTCATGAAATAATAAAAGACGAAAGAAACAATTGTGTACTCATATACAGTGCATTCGGAAAGTATTCGGACCCCTTGACTTTTTCCACATTTTGTTACGTTACAGACTTATTCTAAAATGGATTTAAAAAAATAAAAAATCCCTCAACAATCTACACACAATACCCAGTAACAGATTTTTAGAAATGTTTGCAAATGTATTAAAAATAAAAAAACAGATATCACATTTACTTAAGTATTCAGACCCTTGACTCAGTACTTGAGTATTCGCTTGGGTATGACGCTACAAGCTTGGCACACCTGTATTTGGGGAGTTTCTCCCATTCTTCTCTGCAGATCCTCTCAAGCTCTGTCAGGTTGGATGGGGAGCATTGCTGCACAGCTATTTTCAGGTCTCTCCAGAGATGTTCGATTGGGTTCGAGTCCGGGCTCTGGCTGGGCCACTCAAGGACATTCAGAGACTTGTCCCGGAGCCACTCCTGCGTTGTCTTGGCTGTGTGCTTAGGGTCGTTGTCCTCTTGGAAGGTGAACCTTCACCCCAGTCTGAGGTCCTGAGCACTCTGGAGCAGGTTTTCATCAAGGATCTCTCTGTACTTTGCTTCGTTCATCTTTCCCTCGATCCTGACTAGTCTACCAGTCACTGCCACCAGTCACTGCCACCACCATTCTTCACTGTAGGGATGGTGCCAGGTGTCCTCCAGACGTGACGCTTGGCATTCAGGCCAAAGAGTTCAATCTTGATTTCATCAGACCAGAGAATCTTGTTTCTCATGGTCTGAGTCCTTTAGGTGCCTTTTGGCTTCATGTGCCTTTTACTAAGGAGTGGCTTCCGTCTGGCCACTCTACCATAAAGGCCTGATTGGTGGAGTGCTGCAGAGATGGTTGTCCTTCTGGAAGGTTCTCCCAACTCCACAGAGGAACTCTGGAGCTCTGTCAGAGTGACCATCGGGTTCTTGGTCACCTCCCTGACCAAGGCCCTTCTCCCCTGATTGCTCAGTTTAGCCGGGCGGCCAGCTGTAGGAAGAGTCTTGGTGGTTCCAAACTTCTTCCATTTAAGAATGATGGAGGCCACGGTGTTCTTGAGGACCTTCAATGCTGCAGACATTTTTTGGTACCCTTCCCCAGATCTGTGCCTCGACACAATCCTGTCTCGGAGCTCTACGGACAATTACTTTGACCCCATGGCTTGGTTTTTGCTCTGACATGCACTGTCAACTGTGAGGCCTTATATAGATAGATGTGTGCCTTTCCAAATCATGTCCAATCAATTTAATTTACCACAGGTGCACTCCAAGTTGTAGACACATCTCAAGGATGATAAATGGAAACAGGATGCACCTGAGCTCAATTTCGAGTCTCATAGCAAAGGGTCTGAATACTTATGTAAATAAGGTATTTATATTTAATACATTTGCAAAAAATTCTAAAAATCTGTTTTCGCTTTGTCACTATGGTGTATTGTGTGTGTAGATTATTTAGGGGAAATACATATTTTATCGATTTTAGATAAGGCTGTAACGTAACAAAATGTGGAAAAAGTCAAGGGGTCTGAATACTTTCTACATGTAATGTGTACACCTGCCTCTGATGGTTATTGTGCGTGTGTGTAAAAACATCCACCATTGCCATACAATGCACAGCTCAAAGTTTCAGCAGGTGTTCAGAGTAGTAAAACTAAGCCGTTGGTAAATATACAGAATCCCCCCTCATCTGTCACACACACACACACACACACACACACAGCCACTACTACTATAACTTCAAAGAGCGTTATGTCCCTTTGTCTGTCCAGGATTCCAAAGTTCAGTAGATGGGACAGACAGAGTTGCTGGCCTGTAGACTGGGTCAGAGCCATTACAAAGTCCTAGCTTGGGTATACAGTGTACTGTAGGGAGTGATGTGTGACGCTACGCCCTGTTCTGTCAATATATCACCCTGTCCCCACCCCTCCACAAAGAACAGAATTTGCATATTCACTTTAATATTTAACATTGTTACTGATTACTCACCAGGTTGACAAATAATGTATACATTTTAGGACCGTGTACTCTATGGGTAGGAATGGAACATAGTGGGAGCGTGTTGGTAATTGTCAGCGTATAATAATAATACACTGAACAAAAATATAAATGCAACATGTAAAGTGTTGGTCCCATGTTTCATGAGATGAAATAAAAGATCCCAGAAATGTTCCATATGCACAAAAAGCTTATTTTCCTCAAATTTTGTGCACAAATTTGTTAGTGAGCATTTTATACTTTGTCAAGATAATCCATCCACCTGACAGGTGTGGCATATCAAGAAGCTGATTAAACAGCATGATCATTACACAGGTGCACCTTGTGCTGGGGATAATAAAAGGCCACTCAAAAATGTGCAGTTTTGTCATGCAACACAATGCCACAGATGTCTCAAGTTTTGAGGGAGCGTGCAATTGGCATGCTGACTGCAAGAATGTCTACCGGAGCTGTTGTCAGAGAATTTAATGTGAATTACTATAAGCCGCCTCCAACGTTGTTTTAGAGAATTTGGTAGTACGTGCAACCGGCCTCACAACCACAGACCGCATGTAACCCCAGCCCAGGACCTCCACATCTGGCTTCTTCACCTGCGGGATCGTCAGAGGTGGGGGAGTGGGGGTGCTGAGGAGTATTTCTGTCTGTAATAAAGCCTTCAGGTGGGTGGGCCTGGCTCCAAAGTGGGTGGGCCTATGCCCTCCCAGGCCCACCGATGGCTGCGCCCCTGCCTAGTCATGTGAAATCCATAGATTAGAGCCTAATGAATTTTTTTCAATTGACTGATTTCCTGATATGAATTGTAACTCAGCAAAATCTTTGAAATTGTTGCATGTTGCGTTTATATTTTTGTTCAGTATACATGGGATTTAAATAGCGCTTTTCAAAGACCCTAAGTCGCTTTACCATTGTAGAAATGAAAAGAAAAACAGGAGTCAAAACAAAACATCAGACTAAACAAAAACATGAATAAAGAGAGGGGTGGGCTCAAATAATGGAGAGAGTTTGATTTATCAGTGTATGGGGAGGGTTGGGATTTGGATACGAACCCTGTTTAGGGTAAAGGGCGGGATCGGGGTTAGGATACGAACCTGGTGTAGGGTAAGTGTTTGCGTTAGGTGCTGCTCAGTATGGTGAAGAGAGGAGTTTCTTTGTAGTGTATTTCTTTGCGTGTGTGTGTGAGAAAGAGAGAGTGTGTGGGTGATTTGCATGAGAGTTTAGCAATGTTTGCAGTGTGTCAGAAGAGGCTTTTAAGCCCAACTTTGGTGAATGATGACTTTCTTGGGGCCCTGTGTTTGTGGAAAGGGCCTCAATCGGGACTTCTTAGTCATACGACTGACTTTGGGCGAGTGTGTGCTGTGGTGACTCAGAAAATCATGTCTGTTTCCAAAGCAAGCAGCAGAAATGGTCTTCAAGTCTCAACCATGGGAACATGGTGCCTCTACTCTGCAGTTGTTACTGCTCTCCAGTGTGGCTGTGTGTGTGTGTGTGTGTGTGTGTGTGTGTGTGTGTGTGCCAGTGACACGACTGCAAACAGGATACGGAAGGAACCCTTTGAGCCGAGTCCAGTGCTGTGGTCACTTTTATGGCAGAAAACACACACACACACATTCAGTGTGTGGCAGACCACTAGAGAGCTTATTAATGGAATCCTTCCCAGACCTTTCCTCCTTTTCTGGTTGTCCGTGTTTTACTATCCCTTTATGAGTGGGTTGCCTGTAGAAGAAATTAGGGTGGGTGCAGGCTTATTTCTTGAACATGCATGACCAATGAATTATTTGCTTTTGCCTTTTGGGCAATGTTTAGCCTTGAACACACACACACAGCCAGATGGCTCTGTGGCTTTAGCCATGTTTGGTGTCAGAGGCTAAATTGAAGCGTTGAACTGTTAGCGATATGTTCAGAGTTTAATGTTCAGAGTTTAAGTTGAGGCATTTCATTGCTACACTAGTCAGTTCCAGCTCCTAATTGCCCCTCTGCTAACTGTAGGGAGGCTCGCCACAAATATGCCTTGCTCAGCGGGAGCT